GGTTTCCATAGTAACCGCACAGTGCCGCATCATGCATTACGCTGCAGCGTGGCAGGTATTCCTGAGGACGTGTTATCCTGACCCCGGCTCTCGCACCGAGGGCCTTGTGTCACCCACAGAATGTCACCCGGCCGAGAGTGAGCTGCCCGCTGGGGGACTGCCTCAGTCCATGCGATGGATGGTGCCATTAATCACCATAGGAACAAGCCATGCCGACATCCAGAGAAACCGCGACAAAGGAGTGGTACTAGGATATAGATGTGGGTTATAAACCACTACCTTTCTGTGTGGGAGGGGCTAATAGGCACATGGCAGGTTCACAGGGGTCGTAGCCCATTTGAGCATCTAGTTTAGCTAACATACTTTTTGGTTTTGGTCAATGGCAGGTGGTGGGAGGTGGGGCTGCTTGAATGAAGTGTCCCAGAAGTCCCTATCTGTGGGGGTCAGGGAGAATTCAGGCAAACTGTTCTCACCATTTCTCACACCTCAGCCCTAACCCTGCTGCACGTCTTCACCTCACCTCCTCCCACTTCCTCTCCCAGAATGCACCCACACACACACACACACACACACACACACACAGCTTTCGCCTTCATTCTGCAGCAGATTAATTTATGAGTCTCCTTGCGATATCCAGATGGCTCTTAGAGCTTTCCACGGAGCAGCCTGTGTGATGGAGTCAATACAGAAGCAACTGTCCACAGACGGACTTCGTTGTTATCATCGATTACACGTCCGAGGAGCCAACCAAGGCTATAAGATGACTATGGTGCAAAGTCGCCCCTGACTGGTTATGTAGCCTTTCATAAATCCATCAGGGTAAGCAGGAGGATCACATTATTACACAGCCATGGGGAATTTATCCGTACCTATCATACTGTACATGTACTCTCTGATTTATCGTGTTTTCTACTTAATCTGCTAGTGTCAGATCTTACTCAGCTTTTAACAGAAGCCCAAGGAAGCCGAAAGTCAGCATATCATAAGTAAATGACAGACTTTGGTGTCCTCTTGCAACTTTCACACAAGCTAACTTGTGCTTGCAGTTGACTAGGCTTAAAGGTCCAGTGATGTGGTTCTTGTACACATGACAAATGTCTTTGCGCTTTATGTCATCAATCGCAAATCAATGTGCATATTTAAAAGTGGTATATGTATACTAAAGAGCATGAAATGAGATTTTACAGACTGATAGTCCTTGTTGTAGAGGATGTTTGGCCTCGTTTATTGTTCTGAACACATAAGACAAAATGAAGCACCTTAGTGGTGACACAGTGGATCGGTGTGTGAGGTTGTGGCCTGGCATCTCCAGTGAGGCGGCTTCGATTCCTGCCCCCCGCTCTGTGTGTGTGTGGAGCGTGCATTCTCTCATTATGCAGGTTTCATCGGGGTGCACTGGATTCCTGCTGCAGTGCATAATCATGCAGTTTGTGTCTCTAAACCACCCAGTGTGTGTGTTCTGGGCCATGGACTGGAATATCATCTAGGGTATCCTGTATCCTGCACTTCCTCAGATATACTCCAGAGTCACCGCAACCCTGGACCCCATAAGACAGATGGATTTTACACACAGTTCTCTACAAGTTCATGGGAAATTTGATTACCCAACCGTATGCAAAACTGAAGCTTTTAAACCATAAAAAGTCATATCTGGATAAAGTTTTCAATCACTTATTTGGTGGAGTGATGTGGAGAATAGCACCGTAATGTTGACTGGAGTTGTTGGGTCACAGAGGGCCACTGCATTGTGTCACAGTATTTGGTTGCCCTACATTGGAGGCCTGGGTGGCAGTTCTGGCAGCAGAACCAGTGTGATCACACCTCTGAGCAGACTGTGCTACAGAGCTGCTGGTTATATCAGCCAGTCAGCATCCACAACAGGTTCCTGAAGGAACTGGCAGGCTGTTCCATAGTCTGCTGCACAATGAAAATGCAAGGTTTTGTCTTGTTTCATCTTAGAAGTTGGTCACAATATGTTGTCTTGCAAAAGAGTGTAGGAAAAATAAGGAGCACCCTGCAATGGAACGAGGACACGTTGTACGAATCAGGTTTGATCTGGAAACAGCTAGACCCGAGCTCTTCAAATCTGGACCTCGATTCCAAATCCATGCCTTGTTTTCAGTTCTCCCAGGTAGTTAGTTTAATAATTACTGATTCTGATTGGTCAGAGGCTTCACACCTGGCTCACAGGTAAAGGAAGGCTGGAAAACCAGCAGTGCTCAGACCTTGAGGACTGTGATTAGACCCATGGTAAAATTTTATTGCTACACCTCACACCAAGCCTTTGAACATACATCCATCCATCTTGTGAAACTGCTTATTCCTTTCAGGGTTGTTTGGGGGGTCTGGAGCCAATGGGTGCAAGGCAGGGAGCAAGCCAGAATGGGGTACCAACCCATCACAGGGTGCGCACACACACACACGGTTTGGTAACTCCAACTAGCCGTAGCCTGTTTTTGGACCTGGGGGTGGGGGGGACCTGGAGGGGGGGGGGACCAGCACCTGTGGAACCCAGGTCCCACAGGTGCTGTCACTCTAGCTTCACAATCGCTTGTGGGATTGGAGTGCTGACATTTCAGGGACTCCCCATGCCTGCATTCCCACCTGCCTCTCCCTCCTACTTATGCTGCCATAGCCATATCTGCCGGAGCATTGCACTTCATATTGCACTCATCTAACTTTTAGCACTGCCTATAGTCTCCCTTACTTTGACTAATTGCATATTTTATTTCCCCTACTCCTCCTGGGGGGTGCTGCCTGGAGACCTCAATCTATCAAGATGTGCAGCACACCCTGCAACATGTGACGTCGCCACTACCAATGACGTCCGTGCATCCAGCTCGCCGTTCTGCCTGTGTCATCTTCCATGTATGACCCGCTGCCTGCCTTCTGGTTGCCTGGCGATTGGAGGGAGCGTTGGCACCGGCTTGTCATCTCCCCCCTGCTCCCCGTTTGTGTCTCAGATTTAACTGTATTTGACTCTCCCTGCCGGCCCCTGGAGGATGGGCTCCACCTTTGAGTTTCTTCCTTCTCGGGAGTTTTTCCTTGCCACTGTCGCCTATGGCTTACTCCCTGGGGGCTTTGGGTGGGGATGCTGTAAAGCGCTTTGGGACGATGTAATGTTGTGAAAACGCGCTATACAAAAATAAATTTGTTGTTGCTGTGTGAGGTGCCACCCCCACTTCTGAACATCCACAACACAAACAGAGAATGTACTTTTTCAGATAATGCAACAATTGGAAAGATTAGGCTGAGTAAAATTAATTTGCAATTAACATATGTGACATACCCTGCAACCCAAAGCAGGGTACATGATCAGATGGATGGATGATGTTTGAATGGACGGATGGATGGATGGATGGATGGACGGATAGATATGTAACATAACTAACGCTTTTAAAAAAAATGTCATTAAGTCTAAATTAATAAATCAACTTGTCGATAATGCATCTCTTCCATAAAGGTCATGGAGTTCATTGCACATTATGAAAAAAACAAAGTAGCTTTAATGAACACGAGCAGCCCGGCTTCATCAGGATTAATCGAATATTTGCTGTCTTTTATCAGAGAACCATCAGAGCTGGCTAAAAAGCCATGCCTCTTATTATTTATTTACTGGAATTTTCTGCAGCGTCCGGCCTTTTAACTGAGCAGATTGAGCCTAATTTAGCCCACTGATAAATATCCCAGAGATGCTAATAATGGAATCCTTGGAAATCAGCTATTGTTTTCAAAGTGATCATGAAGGTCACATCCTACCGCCAGCCCTGGAATTTTTAAGCACCTTCTTACTTCTGTGAAACAAAAAAAGCAAAATCAATAAAAGTGTAATTTGAGGAATCCCAAACATAGTAACTGTTGGTAAAGAAAAATCCACTGGTGCTGATACTGACCATCGAAATAAGGTCAAACAAGGTAAATGTCCTGTCTGATATGGAAGGAGAGGCCCTAAGTTCTGGATTTCAAATTCATATTGATTTATTCCAGTCGGGAGGCAAATAGAGACAGTTCCATTTATTTATGATACTCTGAGGCTGAGGCACTTCACACTGATGATTATTTATAATATACACACTTGGCATTTGTGCAGCAGTTACAAATAGTTCTGTACCTGAGAGCGACAGTCCAGCGCTGGTGGCATAACAAGCTGGATGCCATTTATAGCAGTAATCATGACCACCAGCAAACCAGGAGCCATGGGATTGGGTGGGGGAGGGTGAAGTAAAGGGTGGGGGCTCTGCTGGGGGTGAGTGGCTCAGCAGGCTAAGTGGGGTAGGTGAAAGGAAAATTTCCTCACAGGGCTTAATAAAGTATCACTACTCTATTTTGCTACTCCGACATCTGACCTGAGGATAATGCACTACTTGGGGTTTGGAGAAGGTCGCGGGCCACACCTCTCATCATTAAACTCACACGTGTCACATGTTTAGTGTCTTTGGACCTTATCTTTGGCAATATACTGTATGTATGTTCGCCTGAGCTCTACATGCTCGCCGCTGTATGCACACGAGTTTCCCTTTGTGATCAATGAATTTGATCTAATTCCAATTGATCCATCCTTTTTCTATATCCATTTATCTGGTACCGGGCTGAGGTGAGCATGGTGCCTGTCCTTCCCTGGGGGGTGCCGGGCCACTACAGGGCACACAGACAATGGCCAACTGAACTAAACCATGTGTTCTTGGGCTATGGTGACAGGAACCAAAGCCACAGTCTTATATTGGAAGCTATAGTTCTGACCAATGAGCCAGCAGGATAGGCTGTTATCCTGGTGATTGGATGGCTGCAGGTTTGAATCCCAGGGCCGACTGAGTGATGTCACCTTTGGGCCTTTGAGCGAGGCCGCTGACCCCCGATCAGACTGTTCAGCAGACACTTTTCTCAGAGTGTCTGCTAATCAAATAAAATGTAAATATATTATTGGGACAGAGGTAACAAAACAGGCTGTGAGTAAACTGCTGAGTGATTATGTTGACCAACAAAACACAAAGGACGAGCAGTCACTGAAATCAATGGTGATATTTATTTGCAAAAGGCACTCACTACAGTAAATGTAATGGTCACACAAGTTCTATTGTGTACGAAGTCCAGACTCGAGCGGTCAGGCTCACTTTAGCGCTTAACATGGAAATCCAATAACAGCGGGAGTAAGCATGTGCGGGTACAATCAATACCATACCAAGATAATGTACTTGTACAATTGCATGCTTTTATATTCCATGTCTTTTTTTGTCATTTTTGTTTTCAATCATTTTAATATTTTTTTGTTATTATTAATGTAATAATAATAATAATAATTTATATTATTATTGTTTTCAGAACAAACATTTATTGAGAATCAGCTGCTGCATTCACACTGAGTGGCCAATGCCTCGGGCAAAACTCTGGACAGGCTGGGGGACCTTAGCCTGACTGGGCCAAGAAGGGCCATTTTCACACCTGGGAAGTACAGAAACGCTCAACTGGTGTAACTGATGTCCCTCATTACGTACAGACTCACAGCTGGTGCCAGAATACTTAAGTCAAAGTTCTTAAGAAGGACTCGTGTAGGACAATGCACAGCTTGGATAGTACACACAGGGGCACATTAAATTTGGATTAACATCAACACTGTGCTTCACCTCACTGGAAGCAAGGGTGTGACCACGCAAGGGAGACATTCCATGGCTTAAAAATGCTTTAGAAAATGGAGCTGTATTCCCAGTCATTTTGGCAATTTCCAAAGTACAGTTAGCCAAAAACCTGCCTTTTATTTAAAGCACTGTCCACGTAATAGGCAATGTCTTGTAACAAAAGTTTTTACATGGTAAGTGTCAGTGAATCCACAGCCTCCAATTCCTACCACTTGAGCAGTGGAGTAGCCTGGAATTTTCGACAGGGGATGCGTATTGTGCGTATCTAGCCTTTCTGCTCCCAGTTCCCAGTGCACCCAACTGCGGCACGGCCCAACCCATTTTGCGTTTCTCAAGAACAGGTCTTTAACAACAAACTATATATTTTAAATGATTGTTCATAACTGCAGACATTTCAGCTAATTCACTGTGATTACAGTGATGCTATTTTTAATTGCTGAAAACTGAACTTGAAAATACATCAAACTGGAACTTTATTTGCTGTGTGATTTTTTATTTCTTACAGTACACAGCTGCAAGATGTATAAATTAGTAGACTCCTAATCATGAGCGTTTTAAGGACTCACAGGATTTCACGATGATGGGGAACACGGGTCTTAGATGTAAATATTTTTTAATTTCACCTACAAAAAAATGTAACACTTTCGTGATGGGAACACTGAGTGTATGACTACTGCACCTGCATGTAGTTATACTAAGATTCCACACCCAGAATGGCTGGAATAAATACTGCCATTTTACAAAAGCCCAGAAGAGCTTGTTTGTTAGTAACTTGGAAAGTGTTAATTACTTTGTAGTTTATTTCACGGTTGGGAACAGTTAAGAGGAAATGCTTCTTGGCATCTACTCCTGTCATGCCAGATAGCAATTTTAAGCCAAAAATAAATTGATGAAATTGAATATTGATCTCATGATCATCTCCCTTTCCTACAGCCCTGACCAGTACTGCGGGTTAAGATGTGACTCACTTTCTGATTCAGTTTTATATCATATATACACTTGAGTTGGTATCTTGCTTTCAGATTTTAAAAGATGTAATGTCTTTTTCTAATAAGAAAGAGTAGAGTGCTTTTTGGGATTATATATGCTCGTTTGCACCCTTTGTTCTGATCTCTTGCTCTTTGATCCAGTAATAAAAATGAATTAAATTCTGATTCGCTGACTGTGGACTGTGTGGGTAGAAAAGAAACAGGCAGCCAGTCTATACTGTGTGTTGACAGTACATCCTCATTCTGCGTATTGTGGCTTTTTTTGTAAGGGTTCCAGAGCTAATCATGCTGTTTACGCCAACTAGGAGTACAATCAGTTGTTAAGTAGGCCATCAAATCATTTGGTATGTACTAAGAATGTGATTCGCTTTCATAAATTACTGCCAAACCGCTTTGCCAATCATACAAAAAAGTCAAACGACACAGACTCGCCTTCCTCTGAGAATCGGCGTCTGAACACTGCGCAGCTGACAGGGCCTGACGGGGTAAATACTGTATGCACACGCTCTAGTGCTCATACACAGACACATTTACATATGCTGCCGCACGGGCACGCTCGTGTACACCAAGCCGCCTCCCACTGACACCCAAACCCACAAAGTCCCGGGTTTCAACCTGGGGTTCGTCATCTGTTCCCTCGTGAACGCCCTTACCTCGCCAAGGCCGGGCCGAGACGGTGCCCCAATCTGAAGTGTGAATGCAGCGCAACTGGGACAAAGATATTCGAACGACGACAGTAGGACGACAAGCCCTGAGATTTTGTTTTGAGACCGTGAACTTGAAGCTTTTGAATACACTGTGCTCCACAGGACGGCAGGGTAGTTCCAAGACCATGCAATAGCAGAGTGCCTGTTGTTTTCATTCCCAAGTTCAGGTTTAGAGTCCTTAGGCATGACAATCACTTGCATGACTCTATGAATACATGTATTTTGGTTCCTGATGTGCATCCCCCTCTCCTCATCGTCCCCGTTCGCCTTCCCTCTGCGGTCACGCTCTCTGTTCTGAACATACTTGACGCAGAATGACGCAACAGGGATCGGTATATCATCTCGGATGTCGAGAGTTTAATTATAAAACACGAGTGTAGGTCACAGGCCCGTCGATAGCGCCAAATAAATTTGCTACTACGTGTTACTGTTCAGGCTTCCGGAAAGCCCATCCGTTGCAATCTTCTATGTTGTCTTAAATAAAAATCACTGTTTTGATCGTTCTCAAGTAACAAAACATAGTCAGGTATTATGTCATAGTCATTCCTCCTGACGTGACTGATTCGCTCCTTTTTTTGGCAAATTAATCCACCATTTGGACACAGTGAACAGTTAGTAGTGTGGAGCAGGACGCAGCTCCAGGTCGCTGCCTTTCGAACAGGGAGGAGTTAAGGCACGTGAGCAGATGCTAAGACATCTTCCATCCAGTCAGCCACCTCCTCTAAGGCATAGTCTTTATCTTTAGTTCCTTTTCTTCCGCTTTTCCCTCATCGCCCTTCTCCTTGTTCAGCGGGAACCCATTCTGCAGCGAGCAGGCCTCTGCATATTGGGGAAGATCCGTCAAGCTGGTGTTGAACTCCTTCTCTCCGAGCTCCTCATCCTCCTTCTTCTCCTCGCCGGAGGCCAGGCTGCAGCCGAAGGTGTCGTACATCTTGCGGATGTCCTCCGGGATGTTCTTCTTTAGCTCCTTGCTCTTGTTGCGTTTCGCCAGCCGGGTGACGGAGCCCAGGCGGTTGAAGATGTTGTCATCGGAGGTGGCCTGCTCGCCCTTCTCGTACTGCTCGGCCCGCGCGCGCAGGTTGTTCAGCTTCGAGTCGATGCTCTCCTGCGAAGTGGTCTTGGAGCGGTCGGCATCCAGGCTGTTGAAGACGGCCCGCTTCTCTGCAGACAGAACATCGAGCGACTGCGCCCGCTGGTCCAGCCCCAGCTGCCGGCGCTCCATGCTACGGATGGTGGCGGCACGCTGAAGCTTGTCGTGCACCTCCACGCTGAGGCGCCGCCGCGTCTCCCGGAACTCCGCGCGCACGTTGGCCTTCCACTCCACTGCGTGGGCCTTGATCTCGCCCACCTGCACATCACAGTGGTGGCGGCAGCAGGAGCGACGTGGCACCATTAAATCACATCACGTTTCCACAGTAACCTTACTTGCTACACTGTGCACCCAGTAACCTTACTTACTGCACTGCTCCTCACACTGCACACCACAGTAACCTTACTTGCTATACTGCTCCTCACACTGTGCACCACTGTAATCTAACTTGCTACACTGCTCCTCCACTGCGCACCACAGTAACCTTACTTGCCACAATGCTCCTCACACTGCACGCCACAGTAACCATACTTGCTACACTGCTCCTCCACTGCACACCACAGTAACCTTTCTTGCTATATTGCTCCTCACACTGTGCACCACAGTAATCTAACTTGATACACTGCTCCTCCATTGCGCACCACAGTAATCAAACTTGCTACACTGCTCCTCCACTGCACACCACAATAACCATACTTGCTACACTGCTCCTCACACTGTGTTCCACAGTAACCTCACTTGCTACATTGCTTCTCACATTGCACACCACAGTAATCTTACTTGCTACACTGCTCTTCCACTGCACACCACAGTAACCTTACTTACTACACTGCTCCTCACACTGCACACCACAGTAACCTTACTTGCTACACTGCTCCTCACACTGTGCACCACAGTAGTCTAACTTGCTACACTGCTCCTCCACTGCGCACCACAGTAACCTTACTTGCTACAATGCTCCTCACACTGCACACCACAGTAACCATACTTGCTACACTGCTCTTCCACTGCACACCACAGTAACCTTTCTTGCTATATTGCTCCTCACACTGTGCACCACAGTAATCTAACTTGATACACTGTTCCTCCACTGCACACCACAGTAACCTTACTTGCTACACTGCTCCTCACACTGTTCACCACAGTAACCTTACTTGCTACACTGGTCCTCACACTGCGTGCCACAGTAGTCATACTTGCTACAATGCTCCTCACACTGTTCACCACAGTAACCTTACTTGCTACACTGGTCCTCCACTGCACATCACAGTAACCTTACTTGCTACAATGCTCCTCACACTGCACACCACAGTAACCTTACTTCCTACCCTATTCCTCAGACTGTGCCCCACTGTAACCTTACTTGCTACACTGCTCCTCACACTGTGCACCCAATAATACACTTACACATTTTGATTGCAAATATGCTATAAAAATTTATACTAACCTTAGGCAAAAATAATAATTTTCAGTAATTTTAGTGGGTCTATAATTACATTCCCTCTTTTGCGTACACATAAAATTGAAGAATTACAGCTTTTGACTGTCAACAATGATTACAGCTTACTCAGTCTATACTTTATCTTATTACGTACGTCCCCCATACTGAAAATGGCCATACTCTACCTCCTCCTTGGTCTTCTTGGAGAGAACCCTCAACCAGTCTCCTATCATGCTCAAGACGGCGGCGAAATAGGCCAGGCCCACCAGGATCCAAAACCAGACCAGTGGCTTATACCACTTCCGGTATTCTATTCTCCGATCCCCACCTGGCACAGAGGTACAAACACACATGGTCATCTCTCCGCCAGCACACACCCCGAAATCTTTCTCCATGCAGTCCTCATTTTACAAAACGTGGGGTACTTTTTCAGAAACGTCTTTGCATTTGCAGTTTTATAAACTTGCTACCTCCAAGATGCCTACAAATAACTGTCACCCAGTGTCGAAATGCAAAAAAATGGAACAAAAATCAATAGCACGTGGTTAGATTTGTAGATAAAATCTTGAGTAATAGAATTCTTCCTACAAATAAAATTAACAGCTAATTTCATTTCACATTAGAGCCACGTATCCCTGGCAGAAAGCCCAAGATTGTTTTCTTGGCTCAGTATGATTGCTTCTACCTCTGCTACATGATACCAAATGTTGCTCTGCAAACTAGGAGCTGTATCAATTATTAGAGTTTGGATTTATTAGGCAGGGAATTCAAATGATTTTTGTTGTTAAACTGACAGCAACATAAATAATTGGCACAGGCTACTTCAGTGTATATAATTCCGTTAAGTAAACGTCTTCAATTACAATTGATTTTGTGATCAATTCTGCAACCATCTCCTTAGCAATATATGCAAATAGACAGATGTTAAAGGGCATGTGATTTGGGTTGACCGGTGGAAAATTCTAAGCTCCTTTCAAGGTGTAGCAAACATCCTTAAGAAACAGACGATGACTGCCGACCTGCCACATAGTCGCCAATGCCGACGGTCGTCAGGGTGATGACCACAAAGTATATGGCCTCCAGCGCCGTCCAGTCCTCGATGTGCATGAAAATGACGGCAGGGATGGTGACGAAGACGATGCAGCCAGCCAAAATGAAGAGGATGGTGGAGATGACTCTGATCTTGGTCTGACTGATCTGCTTGTGTTTCCGCTGAGGAGAGGAGCGAGGTATGCTGGGTGAATAACTCGGCTGGCCGATGCAGCAAAGCAGGCCTCTGTAACACAGGCTAACGCATCATCTCACGGCATCTGCTGAAGGACGAATCGCAGCATGGTATGGCAACATCTATCCATCAAGCTCTCGCCATGCTGGGCGTACCAACCTGATGGCTTGACAGGCCTGCTGTCTCCTCTAAGCTTCCAGCCACTCTCACAGCATCTGCAAACTAGCTCAACTGCATAAACACCACTAATATCCATGCATATTGACTTGTACCCGTCGTATTAAGGACAAAATGCAGTTCTCAGCTCTACCAACTATATCAACTTTAGCGTGAAATGAAAATAACAGCTTTCCCTAAGGGCATTTAAAAGCCATTTGTTTATTCGATTCATTTGTGTTGGACTGTATTCATCTGTATGCAGAGACTGGCGCAGTCAGCTCCGCCTTTCTTCCTGCTCCATTTCTGGCAGGAGCTTCACCTTGTGCAGGACCTCTGCACCCTGTGAGGTGGCTAAACAGCCTGCCTGTAAGCACTGAAACACCAGGGTCTCCTTCTCAGGGACCCTTCTCGATCTCAAGACACGTGGATGCGATGGGCAGCTGATTCCCTCTCAGGAGGCACAGGTACTCCTTGAATGCTCAATTATGGTCTGTAGCTGTCATGATTTATCTCAGATTTTAGTGGCCTGATCCTTTTTTTCCCCCCTGAAGTGAAGTTAATAGGGCGTTTGCTTCACACATTAAGTCATTCCTCCATTGCGTTAAGTTAAATTGCTCAGTGACCCCAAATGACCTTTTATCAATAGTGTCCCTCAAATGTCTTGATCCAGTTGCTGCAAGATGATCCATTTCTACATATCTGTTTGCTTTGAACTAACTCCTATATCCCAAATCCTAAGATCTGCTCCATATAATATACCACAGAGCCCCAAACCTTTGATTTAGGGCCACATGCTTTCACAGTTTTCCATAAGGCAACAACAGTAGTCCATCACAGATATTATGCATTCAAGGAAATAAAATTCAGGCAGCAAAAACTAAATATTGGAAATGAAATTTAGATAAAGCACATAATAGGAGCTACTTGACACCTCTGGGATTTGTGGCCCCATTCCCTAAAGGTTTGGGTTAAAGACGGTCTTCTCCATTTACATGAGAGCACCTGATCAGACTGTGTTCTGGGATGACCCTGGACACTATTACATTGCCGCAATTTACCCTCACTGTATAATATATAATATTCACGAATATTCCTAAGCTGGGCCATGCCTGGGATGCCTTGGGGGGGGGGGGGGGTTGTCTGTATTAGGCTACAGTGTGCGGCGCTCTCCCACTCACCCGGAACATCTTCTCCACCTTTGCGATGCTCTTAACGAATATGGTGCCAAGCTGATCACCAACGCCGGCCAAGAGAAAGCCAAAAAGGGGAATTCCAAATATGGCGTACAGGATGCAAAAAATCTTCCCTCCCTCTGTGCTGGGCGCGATATTTCCATAGCCTGTGGAGAATTTAGCAGAGAGGATGGGCATATTAACCCACGCACAACCTCTCTCCAAACACTACAGGAACAGAAGGACATACGGTAACACTGAGAATGCCATTTCCATAACAATCTATGATCACATTCAAAACACATTATAATGCATTCATAAAGCATTATAAACATGGCTATAATTAGTGAAGCTCTCATCTATAATGCACTACAGATACCTTCATAATGCAGTACAAATCATCCTTAATTCTTATACGGACCATTATAATACATTATGAAGGTATCTAGAGTGTATTATAGATGAGAGCTTCATTGGAGCTTATGAAGTATTATAATCAACACTATAATGCCTTATTACTGTCAATAGAAGATGCTGTAATGCTTTATTAATTCTTATACTTATCATTATAATGCATTTTGAAGTTATCTACAGTGCATTATAGATGGAAACTTCATTGGAGCTTATGAAGTATTATAATCAACTGTATAATACCTTATTGACTCAATAAAAAATGCTGTACTGCTTTATTGATTCTTATATTGACCATTTTATTGCATTGTGAAGGTATCTATAATGTATTAGAGATGACAGCTTCAAATAAAGTGTTACAGGACATACATTTGTTTTTACAGTAGAGCCAAATAATAGAGGGGAGGACAGAATTAGATGTGACCAGTCTGATTATTCCAGAAATGCTTCAGTGTATTATTCAGAAGACATTTTGTGGTATTGCCCTCAAGCAGAGCAGAATACAGGGAACCAGTCAGCCTCGAGATGTTTCGTTTTTCTGTATCTGAGCACCAGTTTGTGAGGCCCTTCCACTGCAAAATGTACCCAAGTCCAGTATCAAACACCACAGCCATTCAAATACAAATGTAGTCATTTAACAATATTTTATTTGCTATGTAATGCATTTAATTTTTTTTATTTATTAAAACACTCCTACATATTACTTTTCAGTATGAGGCATTTTTCTGTATATTTTTATATCTGATTTCCACACTGCCAAATAATTATGTAAACCATATAACGAAAAAATGATGGAGATGTTCATATACTACCACATAAACTGCAGATTGAAAGCATGTTTTTCAGTGTTTTTTTTTTAGTATCAAAGCAGAAAACAGCTTCTTAAAAAGCTGAAAGTTCTCTGTTTGGACAAACTCTCAATCTGTTGCTCCTTTTAGCTGTGGGTGTGGGACAGTAATTCAATCAGGAGTACCATGAATTACTTCGTTTAAGAAAACAAAGCCTGCAATACATGGAAAGATCATCATGTAGTGAATTAAGTGCCATGAATAAGGGCATGGAGATTTACCTATGGTGGTGATCACTGTTCCTGCAAAAAAGAAGGCACTGCCCAGGTCCCAGTGGCTGGAGGTGTAGGTGTCTCCGATGGGACTCACTCCGGCACTGGCCGCGTCTATGGAATGCTGCGAGGAGAAGCCTTTGGATTAATTTAGCGATTCACCCATGCAAACGACTGTAAGCAAAGACACCTGAGCGACCGGAAAGTCTGTCGCCATGCACACAGAGCCGCGTATGGGAAGGGGACCACGCTACTACACCCTGCCTTTGACTATTATGGGATGTGGGAGGATCTGACAGCTCGTGTTCTCCTCCTGACCCATCATAACCGAGCTCCTCCATCAGAAGAGCAGGGATCGAGGGCAAGGCCAGGTGTTTTACGCAACGCAGAGTCCAGTTGTGTAACACAGTGGATGGAAACTCTGGCGACGGTGACTCAGTGGCTTTTGCAGAATGAATCATTGTGACGGAGTCACTGGGGGAGGGCGGCGGGAGAAGGCACTGAAGCCCCACTTCTGGCTCAGCCTATGCTCCCCCTACCAGCCAACGAATGTCTCCGAGTCACAGCAAGACTTCCCGGGAGCAGATGGAAGCCGCAGGTGGAGAGCAGCGAGGGGTACTGCCAGACGCCGGTGCCCGTTTCAGGTGCGTGCCGGCAGGGATGGGGCCCAAGCTAGGGATGGGGTGGCCCCCAATCAGCCAGAGTCACCTTGACTGACACGCAGCCACGAAAACAGTCTTGCCATCCAAGTCCTGCTGAATATTACCAGCTGTTAAATGTTCTTGCAGTTCTGTACACTTACTTCTATGACTTTGCTACCTCAGCTATGCTATGAAGTCCATCCATCGCCTCACTGTGTACCCAGTATGGGCTTACAAGGGGGCTTGGAGCCTATCCCTGGCAGCAGTGGAAACCAGACAGGGGTCAGCCTGAATGGGATCACACACAGTTGAATAATACAGGCAATTTAGAGACATTGGTTTACATAACTTCATGTCTTTGGAGGAAACCAGGGTACTGGGAAAAAACCCAAACAAGACATGCAGACTGCACATGTGCAAACAAAAGAGGCAAGATTCAAGCCCCCAGCCCCAAGAACCATCCATCAGAGTTAATTAGGTAAGACTTTACTTAAAGCAGTCATTATAATGCATTATAAATACCTTCATAATGCACTATAACACATTCATAAAGTATTACAAACATGGCTATAACTATTCATAAGGCATAACATATTATAGTCATGCGTAATATGCATTATGAATGCTCTACAAAGCTCCCATTTATAATACATTATAAATACTTCATAATGCAGCACAAAGTATTCTTAATTCTTATACTGACCATTATAATGCATTATGAAGGTATTTATAATTCATTTTAGATTAAACCTTCAAAGAGTATTAATAATGCATAGTAAAAATGGCTACAACGTGTTTTATCAGTTTTATAAATATTTATATATTGATTGTTTTATATGTTTATAATCCTTTATGAATGCATCATAATGTCTTATGAAGGTATGTATAATGCATTTACAGGACTACTTTTTTCAGTAAAGTGTTACCGTTAATTTCTTACGTCTTCAGTGTTACATGGCATATTATAGCGCAAAATGCTAATTGACTCATAGCTTCAACATGAGATGTTGTATTCCGCTGCTTCTGCAAACTGGCCCTAGCAAAGCCCAACCGGTGCATGCATCTGGAGAATTCTCCAGAACGCTGACTGGAGGAGGACGTATAGCTGTAGGCTCTGATTGGCGCGGACCCGCTGCGCGTTCTCCAGAGCGGAACCGCGGCGTCAGCAGACTGGCCGGCTCCTCCACATGGCCACGGGCATGGATGTGCGGCCGAGGAGCAGGGACCCGCGGGGACGCCTGCTGATCCCCCGGGAGGGGGCGGCAAATCCGCTTCCGTGTGGGCTGCTGTGGCACATCATTCAAGGTCAGGGACGACATTCCTCTTAAGGGTGAACAAACGAGAGTCAAGGATGTGGTGACGGAGGGCTGGAGAGGGTTAGTGTTCCAAAGCCATCGTGGGCCTATGGAGAACTTTCCTGTGACTCACTGCATCCTCTCCACTGCATCGAAGCTTTAACATTCAAGTTTTAAAGGGGCTTCTCTGAAATATCGTATAATCATTCCGTCCATTTCATTCTGTTTAATAATCTGATTCCCCAGCGTTTCACATCTTACTTGCAAAATCAAATGCATCTGGTTGACACATCACAGCGAAAACATTTTAAAATGGATGCCACTGACACCCATCATAGCAGAGTGATACCTCAGGATAAACTGTTTTAGATTTAAATGTCGTCTGACAGTCTGTCTGTCTAGATGCTCGCGTGACGCTGTGTTGAAAAGCAGAGCTGTCGCTGAAGCTGTAGAATCGTGAGGCTCCACTCAAGATGCCCTTTATAGTACAGACCCGATTGTCTTACCGGCTGTGGGGCACAAGGAGAGCAGTTTGGCCGAGTGCAGTCTGGAAATGACATACCTCAAGGGAGCTTTCAGTTTCACTTATCTCCTACAGCCTGTAACACGCCTTGCAAAGTTCTAGAAACTATCCAAAAGGTCACTCCTCACGTGTCGTGTGTCCAGCTGGGTACAGAGAGCTGGATTGATGAATATTACTGAAAGACAAATATGTAAGAAGCTGAGCCTAGCAGGACCTAAGCGGGCATTCTGACAGAGGTCTGCTTGTGATGGATTATCTGCCCCACCCATACGCCTTGCTGGACTGAAGCTATTTGTGTATGTGCCTATCTAGTCTTACCGCTTCCATTTTCGGTTCCAACCTGCCACATTCACAGGCTACAAACCCACATCCACCGTTCTTCCCATGTGGGGAGGACACTGAACCAAAGGACTGACGCTGAAGGGTGACTGCGCCTTTTCAGTATGCACACCCACCTTTGGGACAACCTCCTGCTTAACCTCAGGTCCTCACTTCAATAGCTGTTTTCAAATCTCGTCTGAAAACCTATTTGTGTAGACTGGCTTTCACTCCATATTAACAAAACAATCTTTGAATTGTTTATTGTTTTTCTATCTCTCCTCTCCCACTCCTATGGTTTGGTCTGGTACTATTACTGTGCGGTTTTGTCCTTATCAGTTCTGGTTTTACTTTCCTCTCGAAAAGTTAATGTACGGCACTTTTCAGTTGTTTTAACTATGCTACAAATTTACTTCATTTAATTACTTAAACATAATGGGTAACTACACCAACACTGGGGTAACATGTGACAGTTACACCAAACCCTGCGATAACATCTGACAGCTACACCAACACTGGGATAACATCTGACAGTTACACCAAACCCTGGGATAACATCTGGCAGTTACACCAAACCCTAGGATAACATCTGACAGCTACACCAAACCCTAGGATAACATCTGACAGCTACACCAAACCCTAGGATAACATCTGACAGCTACACCAACACTGGGATAAAGTGACAGTTACACTAATACTGGGGTAACATTCGACAGTTACACCAACATTGGAGTAACATGTGACAGTTACACCAACACTGAGGTAACGTGTGACAGTTACACCAACACTGGGGTAACATGTGACAGTTACACCAATACTGGGGTAACATTCGACAGTTACACCAACACTAGGGTAACATGTGACAGTTACACCAATACTGGGGCATAGAGACATCGATTCCAAGAATTTCATATGCTTTATACTTTTTCTTCAGATTCGGTGAAAGGATAAAGTGTAAGGTACAAATTATAAGCAATAAATTAATAATAAACAGCTTATAAATTACTTTGTGCTCATACCTACTTAGATTCCTTAGTGAAAGACTATGTTCTTGCTGCAGAGCATGAATTACACTGACGGTTTTCCTGCCTGGTGATAAAGCACACAGCAGCCTTGGAGATGGACCCCAGGAAGACCGCAGACCAGGGTCCCAGTCACCACACTGTCCGTGGGACGCTGCCGATGAGGGCTGGCAATCGGCTGACCTCACCTCACCGTACCCCACAAAAAAAAAGAACACACACTGTCCTTCACTCCTCCAAGTTTTGCCGCACCTAAGCGGCGGCAAAGCCACCCACGCCCAGCACCCCGCCATATGTTTGGCAGGGCTCTGAGTCACCGAAGCTGGGACGCCCGCTGCATAGCAACAGATGGAGAGAGGCAGAAGCGAGAGGGCGCTTCAGATGTGAGGCCAGACGCGGAAAACTTCAGCCGGCTCCTGCTTTCCACTCAGGGCTGATTTAGCGAAGGTCACGATCCTGAACCCTTCATCGCTGATCCCTCGGATAAGCTATGAACTGAAAATACACTTTACCAATCTGTAGCCCTCAACTTTTGCCAGAACTGGAAATGATATAGAGATGTTGCTGGTGATCAGTTTAGTCCCAGATGCTCGCTTTTCGATCCTTCACAGCTAGATACCACATCGCGTCGCTGTAGGGCCGCGTCCAGAGTAACTAACCTTTAACCATACACACTGCGATGGAAGGTTAGCTGTGATGGCCATAAACAAAGTAATTTCCCATGGGATGCCCCCCCCCCACACCGACTGCTGCTTCATATGAACACATTTCACCCAAGACCAATAAACAGTGGCAGTGCAGAATGTACAGAAAGCGTGGTCGCATTCCAAGCCATGCTGTCGCCATGACGATGCCATCAGCATCTGTAAAACAGGGCAGCACTTGTCATAAATCTGACCTAAAGCAGCAGTATTTGCAGCCCGTACTACAAAGGTTTACCTCACGATCTGTTATGAGGCTGACTCTGCAGGAAAGCTGTCGAGCCATAATAATCAGGTTTCCGCTTGATTATTTTCATTTCTACACGTCTTTGGCAGAAGCCAATTATCAACGAATCACACCTCTGAAACGCCAGATATGAAACATTTAGTCTTTGCTTTATTTCGCTGTTAAGGGGAAGCCACAGCATGCTCGTGTTTTATAGTTGTGACCAAAGAGCTCAGTCTGATGCTAACTGCATAACCTAAACCCTGAAGGTGATTCTCACACGACACCTGGGGTCTGGGGCTGTCAGCGTGGAGTCTCTCTCGAACCCGTCGGCCCCGTCCCTCCGTGACAGTCACGCTTTAACGACAGCAGGGCACTTATTGCAGGGCTTCACAAAGCCTGTCGTTTGCTCCGAGCCTCTGTTGTGCTAGGATTAAATCCTCTCTTGTGCATTATGGTGGAGAGGAACATTTTCTGGCAGGTGAAAAAATAAAACGCCAGGACGTGTCCCTGCGATGACCGTTCTAGAAACTCTCACACCTCGGGAATGACTCAGTGTGTCATACTCACGTCAGCGCCATGATGCCAACTCTCACCATTATACCCGCTTTCTCTTAAAGTAACGATTTGACCATAAAATTCATGCTGACAGCGGTGCCGTTGTCCTTCAGGACAGTGCGGTTTCCATGACTGGTATTCCCACACTGATGCCATGCTCTTACTGTAACGCCCCGCCCATTACTCTGTCTGCAGGGGGAGCGGCATAATACTCCAAACCGCAGGGTTCATAACACTCTGCGTGGTGCTGAGGCCAACACCAGTGCTGCACAGCTATGTCTATTTTCCCAGTCAGGGCTGCAGGTTCGGTAAGACGGAGCAGGAGTCTCATCCCCGGCGTGGCGGCTTCTTCGGCTGCAATAAGCAGAGCATTGCTTTCTCTGTAAGAGTGAGACCCTGTTAAATTTGGTCACGGACTAACAGGTTTAAAAGCAGTTTTTTTTCTTCTCTCTTTTGCACTGGCCATCACAGGCCAAATTCCACGTAGTCAGGTCTCAGTACCTGCTGCTGCCGTAATATTTGTTTGCGTTTCCATATTTATCTGTTTATTGTTCTCACACTACATATGTTGCTCCTGCTGCTCAATGAGCATCTGTCTGATCTCAGGTATCCACTGACATTAGTTTGAAAACTGACTATGAGCAATACCTACAGCACTTTTTTTGCTTTTTATATTTCCATGTTTTTAAAATCAAATCTTACGCGTTTCTATATTTGAGCCATGTTTACATGAGCCTTATCATCATACACATGACGAATAAAGGGCTTTGACTTTACCCTCCTACGCTCTCAGAAAAAAACTACCAGTTTGTGCCTCTGCTTGTCACTGGGGCTATATCCTCAAGGGTCTACGAATTATACCCAATAGCTGTACACTATCAGAAAAAATGGTAAAAATTTGTACCTTTGCTTGTCAATGGGGCTGTGCCCTTGTAATGGTACCTTTTAAGGTACATAAATGGAACTTCCCAAAAGTACAAACAGTATTAATGTACCATCAATGGTACAGAAATGTTCCTCAGAGTCCATTTCTGTACCCTAAAAGGTACATCTACCCTTGACGATACAGCAAAGGCACAAATTGGTACTCTTTTTTTTATGACAGTGTACCTGTGAAAAACAACACCTGTGTTGAACATTGCAGTCCAGGAGTCTTATGCATGGTACACGGATTTCAGATCAAAGATGCACTTTCTTTAGGTTTCCTCCCTGCTCAGGCCGTCCCTGGTGATACTCCTTAAAGGTCGCTTGTTGCTTGTCACTCTGCTGTTTGACTGCGCCCAGGTCTAACTTGGCATCTTCCGGATAACTGCCCATCTGACGATCATGTTTCACACGTCCAGGATCGATAGCTGGCACGTTCAAAGTCTTGGGTGTTACTCTTCCTCTCCACGGAGATGCCAAACGGACTTTGGCGTGAAGGCCCAGTGCTGGCAGAAAGGCGGTTTGTCAAAGGGGACGGCTAATCAAACACAGGCAGCTCCTTTGCCGGTCACCAGATTCATACACTCTGCTTTGATTACCCGCCCACTGCACCCAAGGTCATGCACTGTGCAAGATATTGGCTTCTATGGTTCATCTTTCTTTTTAATTTCCTGAACCTTTTTGCTTTGAGGAAGCTTAAGGACTATTTGCATGGCATTTATTGTGAGTTTAGAATATAAGAGATGGAATTAAACACTGCAGCAAGCACAAGTGACAAAATATCTATTATGCATCAGTATGATAAACCACCCTTGATCTCAGGGAGATCGTAACTCATCAAGTAGGATGGAAAACCTGCTGCGTACCAGCTCTCCAGGATCCAGGTTGTTTACCTCTGCTCTAGCTAATGAAGACAGCTGTATAAAGGCATCTCACTGATGCTGCCAAACTTCACTGGACACAATACTCAGGACCCAGTATCGGATTATTTACGTTTTCTGACATCATAGGCGGCAAGTTCAGGTCAGAAAGTGCAAATCCGGGCCAAGGTTTTATTTCAACCAACCAGCTGAATATAAAGAGTAATACTCACAGAGCACTCAACTGATTGGTTGAAACAAAATCTTGCTCTGGATTTGTACTTTCTGAACCTGAACATCCAACCTCTGTCTGACATATACGTGCGTAACCCCCTCCAGCTTCACAGACCTGCTGCAGAGAACAGAGAGAAGCCTCTGCTTACTCCTTAAATGGACCCTTGGCCAGCCCCTTCAGTGGCTGCTATTAGCACCGTGATTCTCCTCAGGGAGAAAATCAATAGCGGGTCTCTGACTTGACCTGCTTATGTAGCCTCCAAAGTCAGCTTCTTTTCCCGACTGTGAATAGGTCGCGTACTCCTTTCCTTACGGCTCTGCCTTTACTGTAAGGAGGCATGAGCTACATCCCCAGTGTTTGGAAAGCAAATAACGAAAATCTCTGAAATGGCATCGAATGTCATGCTACAGATGCTGATCCATCCGCTTGCTTTGGGCTCTCTCGGTTAATGCATTTGTTTAGCTTAAATCATATTTCCTGTTCCATCTATGTGCAGTAATACTGATACTGTGTCCTACGGTCTGAAGTTGTGAAATATTTACTTATGCTAGTTCTCGGTGTGTACGTGATATTTTGTAAGATCTTATGTTTCATCTTTAATGTCCTTGTCCAGCATATATTGCATTCCCTGTGGATCCAGCACTAGAAAACTGACTTTCTCAGCAAGCAACCACGGGCGCGCTCCTCAGGAACACTCTGGTGGGAACTTACCTGGATGAGAGCCTCCAGTTCGTCAGGCGTCACACAGGGGTGCTTCTGCAGGAACACGGACTTCTCCTGCGTGATCGTGTCCTTCTGGTTGCTCTCGAACGGCTGCTCCAGGGCCCGGAACACGAGGCCGCCGACGACCAGGTAGACCACCACCACCACGAAGACGGCGAGCACCGTCTTCCACTTCATGACGGTGTGGAGCGTGGAGCCGTCGCTGTCCATGCTGGCCACCACAGCCATGCCGCTTCGCGACGACACGGACAGCCGGGGAAGTGAGCAGTGCCTGTGTGGCTTCACCTCACATCCCATGGGGTTCTGCATGGTTGCCACGCTGGCCTGCACCAAACTGGACTGCAGCATTCCCGACTTCACCTTTTTCGGAGTCACATTGGTCTGAACTGGAACTGAATCGAGAGGACAAAAAGGCATGATGCACCCTATAAAACCAGATGGCAACACTTTGGCGCAAATGGTCAAAAAAACACGTCACCTTCGCTGACTTAATTGTCTCCTACCTGATGATTCAATTCAAAGTGACTCACAATTTCCACATTATGCCATATATAACATGTTAAAGACTCAGCTTAGTGGTGCAGCAGGTTCCGTTCAGGACTCAAGACTCGGTCTGTGGCTCTGCCAGTTAAGACTGTGATCAGAAGCTCATGGGACTGAGAGACATTTCACCATCAGGCCCTTAACCCAAACAGCTCCAAGGACACTGTCTGATCCTCACTCTTATGACACTTTGCACATAAAAGACTTTGCTAAATTAATTTAATATATCTCCGAACTACTTTACCATTTATTTTTTGGATAAACCATCCCACCATAACCATAAAGGTAAGGTCAGTTTAAGGTGGTTACCCTTGTCAGCGCCACACACTTAGAATATTCTGCCTCCTGCTTTCTGTTACAAATGAGTACCTACAAATGGCCTGGGAATTCTTAATACTGCACCTGTGTGTACAATAAAAGCCATCTGTGAAGGCCACACACATTGGTGATGGAAGTTTCTCTCTGCATTCTCCTGCCATGAACAGATTCGCCTCCCTTAATAATTATCTTTGTTTAATTATTGTACTTTTTGCTGGAGGGGGGGGGGGTTAAAAAGAAATAAAAGTATATGCAAGGGTTCAGTGCCCAAAGGAGGGGGATCTGTATATTGGATGAGTACAGAGGTAGATAGTTCAGGTCCAGAAAGTAAAAATCCAAACCAGGATTTTATTTCAACCAACGAGTTGAGTACTCTGTAATTTTAACCCTTTATGCTCAACTGGCTGGTTAAAACAAAACCCTGGTCTGGATTTTTACTTTCTGGACCTGAACTATGCAGTTCTGGATGGGTGTCAATAAGTTAATAGAACCAATAAGGATGAGAGTGAATTAACTGATGTACATCTTTTCACTCTCTTAGGACAGAAGAAGCTTTTATTTGATTGAAACTAAAGGAGGAAGCCAAAGAGGGCAGGATGTGGTAATGAGTTAGGAACAAGCTTTGTGGTGTTTTGTTTTGTTGGTGGTGAACTGGGTATCTGTGTCTGCTCTTTTCTTCCTTGTCTAAAAATAAACCAAGATGTGACTAACACTAATCTTGATTAGCTATCTGTGGATTCACAAGTGGAATGAGAAAGGCCCTCCTCTCTGTGTTATTACAGAATCTTAAAACATATCAATATTTCTACACCGCGTTCACTTTATGGGGGTAGGAGCAACTCTACCTCCAGTCTCTCCCTCAGCACACAGTGATATCGCTCACGAAGCCCGGCGCTGAAACCCATGACGGATTTTCAAATGGGATTTCGGCAGCTCTGAAACTCCAGCCTCTAACAGGGGGATAATCGCATAAAGGAGCAAGAGAATCGTCTCCGGTGAGGGTCGAGAGTGTGAGGAGACGCCGCCGAAAGCCCTGGAGCAGGGAGAACATGAGAAGCATCTCTGGATGATCTGTGATGGAGATGTGGCGGAGCAGATCGGCGACCGTTAAGCAAACGGCGGCATGTCTGAGGTGTGCCATCCTCTAAACAAGAGCCCGGTCACCCGTGAAACAAACGGGTCATAAACAATGAGTCGCCCCGGAAACGTGCACGGCTTGTTTGATCCTGTGTTTTTCATGCGTTTGCAGAACATTTCAGCACATCCTTCCACACTGGACCACACACTGCAAGTCCCAGTGTCTAAGTATCCTCACGGGTATAAGATGATGGCATCAAGATACAAAACGAAAAAAGCAAACTAACATATCTTACAACAAAACCAAAAGGATTTCAACTCTTTTGTTAATTGTGTTAATTTCATTATTATTTTGCTCAATTTTCAAAAACATATTTCATGACACAATAGAACTTGTGCAATTTTTGAATATGACCAGCAAAATACAATGCAAAACCCAACAAAATACATTTTGTATATTACATATGTGATTATGGTATTCCAGTACTGAACACTTATTGTGAGGAATCAATTCAGATTAAGAGGTTATGAATAAATGATACTCAGGGCTGCACAACGGAAATAATTAATTGCCACCTTAGTGGCAAAAACTCTCATAAAATTCAATAGGATGACACACAAGTACGGTCCAGTTTAAGTTTGCATGCTTTATTTGATTACCTCTGTATTAACTATTAGACCACAAAATACCATTTATGAGCATAGATGTGCAGTTGTAATATTTATTACAATAAAACCTGACACTATTATTATTATTATTATTATTATTATTATTATTATAAGAACTCATCATCAATGTCTAATTCACTATACACAAGGCTGAAAGCGAAAAACAGACCCACACGATCCAGGTTTAATTATCCTCAATCCAATGACTTGTCTCCGATCAATGATGTCCGTTCTTTGGGGGTCAACATTCCCACAGGACAGGGGACAGGCTGGCACAAAATAAGGGACCTTCAATTAAACTTAAGCGCTGACACCAAAACCAAACAGCTGAAGAGTCCCTTGTTGATTATTAATTAATTAACCTTTCCATATAAAAACCAAGGTGATTAAAAAAATAAATAAAACAATCATAGCTTTCAAGCTAACACTTTCCCAATACTTGATATGTACAGTACAATGTATGCATTGGCTTACAGCTCATTTTATCTTAATTTGCCAGCTATGATTAGAAGCTTCATATTTAAACCCCTCCAGATTAGTTTACTAAGAGGTGTGGTTTTTTCATCACATTCTTTAGAGCTCATGCGCATTGTAGTACCAACACATTGATGCTATTCAATCAACTCCATCTCAAATGTTACGTACAGGAAATTCATTCCATAGAGTATTTTAGCATCCAGTCATAATACATTGATTTTGTTCAGGTAATAATAACCACAATAAACAGTTGCACATGTAGACCAAAAAGCTGACACGCGCAAGGACACAAAAATATTTGTAAATTATTGCCCGCAGCCGCCACGTGACAGCGCGTGTGGACGACCTGATAGAACGCACTCGGCACGCGACGCTGCCAGAATCCACCCTGCGCTCCAGCTGAGCCCTGATGAAGTAATATCACCCCATGCTCCGTAATTATTTTTCCGGGTGACACTTCATCTGAATGCGCTTCGCTAGAGATTTAAATCAGCATTCCATAAAAGCGATGCATCTGTTCAGTAACCTCGACGCATACAGCTAATTTCTATTTACGTCTATTTGCAAGTAACTGAATGCGCCGCGAGAGTGCATGGAGCACATGGCGAGCTACTTTGCGTAAAGTCTAAATTACATCGGTTTGTTCCCGTATTTACGCGAAAATGTATCTATAGTGCGTGGTACATCTTAAATACATGGCACTTTTGATTATGGAAAATGTAACGTTTTTCATTATTTGACAACTATTGTCTTCACACACAGAGAGCATTGCCACCCAATGGAAGGAGGACGTGAGGAAGCACCGCGTACGACTGAATAGTAGGGGGAGTCGTGTCTGGAGAGACCCGCTATGAATGCAAATGAAGACGCTGCGCTTCCAGAAGTGATAACGCCGGTATTGCCCGGTTTAAAATGGACAGAGAAGGAAATCCCGAATGGGTCTTCTCTGACATTACAGGAATGTGAGCGCCAAAGACTCTCTGATTCAAGGGAGGCCACGTTCCCCAGTCACTGCTTAGTGAAGGGAGCGGCACATCAGCATTATATCAACAAAACAAAAGCCTGCTCCTTATCATGGCATGAGGAAAGACCTGCCCATGATACGCTTCAAATTGCGCTCCAAGCTTCGGAACGTAGGCACGCGATGGTGGAATAAGGTGTGCGTAAAAAGATGTGTAGGTGTTCAGTATAAAACCCTCTACGCTTCGTTTTTCCCATGAACTTATTGGTTGGGGCAAGTTCCACCAGAAATCACACTGATGAAATAGCCAGGTATTGTATTTATCACATGCATATTTTGTTCTAATAAAACCATTTAACGAGCTGCACGTAATATGATATTAATAAATCTGGCATACAAACCTGGCGCAGGATTCAAGTTCCCAGGCTTTCTTGGGTTCTCTGTTGGAAATTTCATCTCGACGATTCGGTTTGGAAAACAAAAGAGACAATCGGTGGCCAGCAGCTGGTTCGGGTGTAATCAAAATCAGAAGAAAAATGTATATTTTTGTATGTATACTGCCAAACGGAACGCGCTGTGTTTAACGGCGAGGATGGAAAGGCTAGCGTCTGGTCCGCCGCTTTTACTCTGCGGCTGTCAGGTGGAGCGTGGTGCCCATGCAGCCAAATTGATCGGAATGAGCTTTCGCTGCTCCGTCGCCCCCCTCAAGAGCACCGCCGCATGACTGTATGCGCCCACTGCGGTGTATTTTCTCCCAGCAGTCCACTCGCATCTATAAGAAAGGGGTGTAAAAAGAGTGTATGCCGTGCATCGTCCATAGAAGCACCGGTTAATTAACTTCACGCCAACGTGCTGCACAGTGATTCATCCGCAGTAGAGTTGAGGATAATTTCTACAGAACGAGTTATTACACAACGGCTTTAACTCAAGCGGTGGTGTTTATCACTCTTCTCATGCCTTATTATCATAAATCCGGTTTTGCCAAACGGTGGCTTTATTGTTGAAACCCGCAGTCTTCCAAATGCAAATTGCCAAAATAAAAATAAGAAAGAACACATCGCCGCCAGCGGATTCAGTGCGTTATGCACATTATCGAGCCACAGCGGTCCTGCTGCTCGTCCGATAGGGGTGTGCACCTATCGTTTTATTGTCGTGGGCTTTTAATACGCCATGCATCGCGAACCTCGTCGTTAGGCGGGGTAGCTTGATGGCCGAGGAGCAATGCACGCACATGGCGAAGAAAGCGTGCGAGACGGAGTGATAGGTGAACACGCGCGGTCTTCCGATCACACCATTACATCATCCTGTCGTGTCTGCTCGCATGTTAATAGTTACATTGGTAATAATATATCAAACGTGTTTAACCCCTCCCCGAATGTAATGAGCCACTGTCCCTCTTGGATGCGAACTCGTAAAGTCCGCTCACTTAAAATAGCGAGTAAACAAAGAGTAACTGGGCATATTAGGATTTTATTGGTAAATCGCTTACATTGCTTTTTAGATCATTTTTTGATACGCATGTGGGATATTGAAACTTGCATTTTGGTAACACGTAGAGTGCTCTGTTCTCCAGGAGACGATAAAATGCATCTCTTGTCGTCTTGGACAATGCAACGTCTTTAATAGCTACTCTTTCCTCGCGTCTTTGTTAATATACTGCGAGAGGTTGTCCGCATAGTGACGTAATTTATTATGATCTGACGACTTTGGAGATGTTACGATACATGAATGCCTTCACACAGTTTAAATATACTCCAATGCCAAAGAGTTTATGTCTATAAAACGGTATTTCAGGCAGCTGTGTGTGTGTGTGTGTGTGTGTGTGTGAAAGCCACCACTTGCGTAGTTGTTCAGTTCATTATATCTGCCAGCTAGCGACAATAGGCTGCTTTATTTTGCATATTGTAGTCAAATTGATTCCTGTTCTGTAGAAAACTTTTTATTTTTTATTACAGTTGTGCGATTTTCAATTTGTTTCCATAGTAAGTGCAATTAAACAGGAGGTCATTGTTCTTTAAACCATTAGCAGTTCTCTAGTGATTTTTTTTGGGGGGGGTGGGGGTAGTCAGCCTGCTTATTTTAGTAGCATTTGTAGACCTATGTTTGGAGCCATGACACAATTCCGACATCTTGTCAAATGCTAATAAACTTCTTCAACATGGTCAGCCACTGCCATGCGAGTGCCCAGGGAGCTGTATATCTGTTAATGTTCATATGAAATAGACCACAGTTCTTCTCTATATTTAGGTATTCCGTGGTCAAAAGTTCCTATAAACAAAGCAAGGAACTAAGTATTGAAAGCAATGATTGGGTAGAAGGTTCTGTATCTAGCAAAAGTGAGGTACAAACTGGGTGTTAATCTTCTTAATTCTAATTGCGTCTCTATTGTTCTTTGACATATTTTTATGTTGGGTTGGTCTAAATGTGTTATTATGATTGTATTCTCTCATGGACCTTTATAGATCTGTACAATGATTTCCTTGAAAGATCTCTGTCATTATCTATATATAATGACAAAGGGTTATATACTTGTCTTTATATACCACAATGGAGACACATTTTCCTATTATTCTCTTGATATCATTGTTTAAATTATTCAGGATAAAAACACACCAATGCATTGGAGATTTAAGCATTACATATATGCTGGATGTTGGTTTCATATGTTGGTGTTTTTTTTACAGTAAACTAACCAAATCTGCATATAGTGCTGGTATTTCAAAAAATAAATGAAATGTGATGTGTCTACAAGCCCATGAATAAATGATTATATGACTGTTTAGGTTGAGATTATGTCTGTGGGTGGTGCACAGTGTGATAAATATTCAGATACACCTCTTTTGCTTAAGATCTCCAATGAAACACGTTACATTTTCCAAGTTAATATATGTAGTATTGATTAAGTAAATTTCTTCAGCAGTTTATCAGTACTACCTGTTTTTCCAGACAACACCGATTACATCTCACTAAATTCGCCTTACAATTGATATTGGCCTTACAAATTCAACATGCATTAGTTGTAGTGTGACTACTTTGAGTCCAGAAACAGCCAGGTGTCCCAGGATGGATGGATGGATGGATGGATGGAGGGAGGGAGGGAGGGATGGAGGGATGAGGCTTCTGCTCTTATGTTTGTCTGATGCTGTTTATAACTTGCTGCTGTAATGCCGCAATTTTGCTTCATGGGATTAATAAAATCGATCTTATCTTATTTTATCTTAGCTTAGCTTATCTTATCCTATCTTATCTTGATCTCTGCTCTGTGTTTTCTATTACATATTTCGTGACTCATTCTTTCATTAATTTATTTTCCCTTGGCTGCTTATCCAGTGGTGAGCGCCAACCCACATAAAGCCATTCTTGTGAATCTTAAAATAAACCACATCACACTCCATTACTAGTAAATTACACCAGAACACCCAGTGGAGGAAACGCACATACAATGAAGAACTTATAAATTATCTACTTGCAAACACATCTCTGCATTTAGCCACTTCCCTAAAGGTGTTAGTGAGCGCTGACCCACCATGTCACCCGCTGTTATGAGCATACAGTGAGTCTGGATGCTTCCTATCAGTGTCTGAATGGTCACCATCACCTTCCCACCACATTGGCTCACTGTACCCATTTACTTTGATGCTCCACTGCGTGCCCACTGCGCTCTGTCTTTAGCCCCTACTTGAGATAGTTCATTCTGACTTCCAGGCAACACATTAAGCATGAGACACGCAACATGCTGAAACTGAGATCCAGAATGTAAATCCAACATAATGGCACTTGCCAGATCAAAAGATCAGTCTTTAAGTTCCCAGCCATGGGCAGCATTTTCCAGAAAGGCGTGTGTTCCAAGCTAAACACAGAAAATCAGGGGTTAACACACCAGCACATGTAAGGCACAGTGATTAAACAACAGTGGTGGGGATCACATTAGCCCCGAACCCCCCGCCCCCCTAAACACATGTTGCTCCTGTAATATTGGTAGGGATGTCCTTACCGTTCATCCCCAAATCTGTGTGCTTGGGATTATACTTGGCAGAGATTTGCTAACCAAGTGCGAAATAAAGCACAGGGATTCGACTCACTTGGATGAGGTAAATGGTGACTTTGCGGGGGGTGGGGCTCTCCCACCTGTCTCCCAGGTGTGCGCTGGTGGTGGAGGCATGGCAGGGGACTGCTGTCCTGGAGAGGTGCTATTTTGCGGCCTACAGTGTGCATGTGGGGGTTTGGGGGGAGGGGGTATTTTAGGCCTGGCGTTTCCAGGCAAGAGACTTCAGCAAAGATCTGAAATCTGTGACCTCATGCTTTGTACTTGCGATTTAAATGATTCTATTTATGTCTCATCTATGTATTTACATCTCCATTACTGATATTCTTTACTACTTAGATCTGTACTGAGCAATGATTGGGTAGAAATGTTCTGTATCTAGCAAAAGTAAGGTACAAACTTTGTGTAAATGTGCCTATTTCTAATTGTGTCTGTATTTTTATTTTGAGTTGGTCTAAATGTCTTTTTATGATTGTAGTCTGTCACGGACTTTTATAGATCTGTACAATGATTTCCTTGAAAGATCTCTGTCAATATCTATATGTAATGTCTTTTTATACCACAATGGAGACACATTTTTCTATTATTCTCTGTGTGTCCTCCTGCTTTCTAGTTGCAACTTTAATTGGTTTTGTTTATGTCTAATCTATGTATTTACATCTTCATTACTGACATGTTTTAATATATCGTGCTATGCGTTCTTTAGTACATTGCTTTGTTTCTGCATTGCATCTTTTCTCGCCATCCATTCAACTGCAAATTTATTGTTATCGTGGCTTCTGTTGATAGAGTGTCGAAACACACTGTTTGTGTGAGTTTGTTTCCCGTTTACATAAAGGTTACAGTCTGTTCTTCGGTGATGACATCATGCGTCCTGTAGAGATGAGAAGAACGACAAATTCTAGCTTGTAAGACTTAAAGAAACTTGTGCTTTCTAAGTACATCACTGTGGACATGTAGGTAAGAAAATGGTGAATAATAACACAGGAAGGTTTCATAGTACTGTATTAACATCAATTCCTTAAAGAATATCTCCTTCATAGTTCCTATATTGAAAGAATGAAATCTAATAGGCGTTAATAATATATATTTAAAAATGTAATATAAAAGATTCATTCAGTGCTACAGAAAGCACTTGATTGCAGTTATTGCTTCAAAGTGCTATAAAATATTATTTTAGGGGCCCCAGTAATTTTATCCATGTTATTTTCATTTGTTTTATTATTTAGAACAGAATAGTGATACTTTATCAATCCCTGTAGGGAAATTCTCTTATGAAAAATGATGTGTTACGTCATAAATCAAAAGCAAAGGGTCTGATCTACAGAATGTGGAATAAAGATCGGTGGATGCCAGTTATTTTTGTTAGTTTCAACTTATTTCACAGAAAATCCTTTTGCCCGTGCCTGCAACTCCTGGCTTCAGTGACTGAGGGTTCATAATCACAGAGGCTAGGAGGAAGTTCAGGGCAGCCCCTGTGCTTTGACAGTCTGCACGGCTATAAAAGTTACCTCAGCTCCGGCTGGTTACTTTGCCTTTTGATAGATACTGTGGGGCCCTTGTTCTAATTTAGCAAGTGCCACCCTAGGATTCCATCGTGATACCTGTTGGACTCAGCACACCATGCACCAACTGTGTGGCACTCCTCTGTCTTCCCCAGTGCGCATAAATCAAGAGTAACTGGAAAAGTAAACTGCACATCTGTTTTTGGTCTATTTGTAAAACATTTTTAATAGACGTGCATAAACTCCCGAGTCATAATTAGTCGATTCATTAAAACAAGATTACAGTATGTGTCAGTAACTAAATTATCTTACCGAAAACCACATTTCTGTTTCTCTTTATTGTTGTTTTAATGAAGAGGTCGGTTGTTGTAGTGATGATACAGGTGTTTTTTACTGTAATACCATATCTTGTGAGCTGAGTTTTTTAGTCAGGCAGATCAGGGACAGCTTTGGATACTCTCACTGGGCCTCCCAGGCCCTCCCACTCCTCCCTATTCATACCTCTTCGCCAATAATATGATTTGTAGTTGTAACTGTCATATCAATAATATTGAATAAGTTAAATGGGTGCTCACACCCATGACAGGGGATTTTTCTTCCACCTGAGCGCCTACTGCTTAATTTTAGTGATTGTCCTAATTGATCTAATTTTGCACGATCGCCCATGACTGGATTTGTTGGCTAATTAATGTGAGGCATATGATGCAACCTGGCTGTGGCCTGCAGGGACTGATTCAGGTCTGCATGAAGTTTCCTTCTTCATTATGAGGCTAATAGTGGCTAGTGATAATCAAGATGGTTATGATCTGATAAAAATAAAAATTACTCAGGATCATTTCCCAGAAATACAGTAAACAATCCTCTCTGCTGGCCTGAAAAACCATAGGCATTGATCTGGCCAAAACCGGCTGACTGAGAACGTCAGACGCAAATGTCAGTTCCTTGCCAGTATTGCAAAAATTGCGGCTCTTTTTAAAAGTGCAGGATGAGTCATGGGTGTGCTGGTCAATTCTGCAGCATTGCTTTAACTGCAATACATCAGGGTGTCCTGGAAGAGACACATTTATACTAATTTTCTCTGAGGATTTTCACCTTTGTCAGTGGGCGCATGACTTCACAATATTCTTCTTTTCTCTAGTCTACAAGAGAGGTAGACAGTCTCATAAAACTGTCTCACTTTTAAAAATGTTCCATTCATACTGTATATTTGAAAATATTTAGCATTTGGCTATGGCACTTACGACAATATTTTCCGAATATAACTTACTTTGTACTTAATGTACTTTCAATGCTTCATTTGTGTAGTGGTGTATACTTCTTGTAAAGCAAAAGCAACTAAAATCTTATCTATTGAGAATTATACCAGACTTTGTTTCATCTTATTTTATTTTGCATTTAAAACGTTATTGTGAATTAATAACAGCTTAATATATCAATGGAAACCATACAATAAAAATTATTATAGCCCTTTTTGACAACAGCAGTCCAGAACTGATACTCAGTACAGTGGATATCATTCATTTGGTTCATTTACAGTTTAGGGTTTGATATTGACTTTATATTTGCTTTGTGCAGGCAAATCTACAATCACCTTCTTTCTGGGCCTTTCACAGCAAGGGCGTTTCAGAAGTGGTGATGAGCAATGTCCTATTATAAGGTATTTGCTTTGGATTGTTTTAAAATGTCCTCCAAAAATGTCACAAAAACATAACATTTACATTTCAAAAGCATCTGCACATTTCCTGCAGGGGGCAGTGTACCCAAAGCAGTGTGTCTGTGCAGCAAAATGAACCCTAAAATGCCATAGGCAAAGGCAACAATCAATCCAGCTTTTTGCCCATCTTGGGGAATCCTGTAAGCTCTGCTAGGGAGCACAAGGCAGGGGCAGCACCCTGGACAGGATGCCAGGCCACAAACACTAGAAGCAACTAAGAGGAGCCAGTTAAGCCTCACTGCATATCTTTGGACTGTGGGAAGAAACACACAAACTCCACACACACATATTGCTTGGGGTTCAAGCGGCCGGCTCTGGAGGTGTGCTACCCAATAAAGCACTGTACTGCCCAAATAATACTCCTGTCATACTCCAGGGTGTTTGGACTGATGATGCAACTTCATTTGTGTACATTATTCTTTCAAATAGCTCATTTTATTGATATAATCATATACTATATTAAGAATATATATATATATATATAATTTATTTATTAAAATTTATCTTCTTCTCATTCCCCAAGATGAGACAGTGAGCTCTACATAACAAATGCGGTTTTTGTGCAAGTATCATGGATTCCTGCAATTTAAAAACAAAGGTGATGGACTACGCCAAAGACTTCAGCATTGTTTTTTTATAAAAGAAGACTATATCCGCCATCTTGTGGACATTTTGTTCAGCAAACAGGAATCATTCGAAAACACTTTTACCCTCTTCTGGCCACTAACGGAATTGCACGTGATCCCAAATCCCATAATAAAAGTGGCAATTTAACAAGTACCATGCTGGCGTAGGGTTAAAACCGTTAACAATTGCTTATAAAAATGTAGGTGCAGTCTCTACGCAGGAAACAGACTAATAAATTATTATTTTTTAAATAATAATTAATAATTTATGTCAAGTTCTAATACATTGTAAACCATCTAAAAATGAAATCCATTTTCTGTAGCTTTACCTATTCAGGGTAGCAGGGGGGTCCGGAGCCCATCCCGGAAGCTATGGGCGCAAGGAGGGGAATAACCCAGGATGGGGCGCTAACTGATTAAAAACAGTAAAATATATTTTAGTCACTATAAAATAAGACGATAACAGAGCTGACTCATCGAAAAGTTTTGGAGGAGGTTTTGTATAGCTTACATGCACATTAAAGTGTCAAGAAAGAGTCGAAAACTTTTTTTTCGAGAACTCTACAAGTTTTAGTTTTAGAAAATGCCTGGATGTTAGTTATATATCTAATTAATTAGTTTTATATTTCATTATATTTTGTAATTAAGAACCATAGCCTAAGACAGGGGTCTCCAACTCCGGTCCTGGGGAGCTACTGTCCAGCCTGTTCCTGGTGTGGCTCATCAGAAGGCAGGTACAACAGAAAACCTACTGGACAGTAGCTCTCCAGGACCGGAGTTGGAGAGCCCTGGACTAAGAAGACAATCGGTTCTGATTGTGATAACAATTGGAAAACAATACGGTGGCTACATTCGGCTTTTTTATTATCACTTTTTCACTTGTTTAAAGAAGGTTCTTGGATTGTGACAGGGTTCGAATTACAGACTTTCGGGAGCCTGTTGTCCGGTGCGCACCGCAAGCCACAGGGACGCACATATACTGTATAGGCGGTCAGTAACAGGGTTACTGCGAAAAAACATTCTACTATGGCTACTGCAGGTAGTTAATACCGTCAGTGACATTTCATATAGGCACAGTAACAGCAATATAATCACGCAAGATGTTTAACAGCCTAATCAGAGCAAAGAAAACAAAATCACAAAGCACGCACACCTCTTCAGCAACACATCACTTGGGGAAAAAGCAGGTGAGCATTACTTAGATAACTTGTTTTAAACCACAGCGAAGCAAAACAGCCGTTTGCAGCCCATATTTATATCCTACAATTTTTTAAATCATTATTTCAGGAACGTTAATGTACGGAAAACAAAATACAACGTATAAAAGAAAAGCAGCGCATTTTCAGAGCTTCCCTTAAAGGATCAGGGGAGGCTTTGGGGCAGAAGCCCGAGTCCGTTTCAGGAAAGCCGAGCTCCCTAGGGCCGCATCAATTAATCCATAAGTTATGATAACGCCCATAATACTCAGTATTAAAAATAGGCCTAGTTGACAACGAATATTATACCTTCGAATACTGTATACCGCGGTATAAAATTCAAACCATAGCAAGCAAAATAAGGCGGAGATAACGGATTTGTTCCTATGCTACTTTGTCACTTTTAACAGAGACTGTGTACACTATGTTAAGTTTTATTTACAACTGCGAGTTTATTGTTTGTTTGTTTTTTATTTATAAATAATTTGCGCTTCTCAAACTGCGGTTTGGCTCACTAGTCAATTAATTGATTATTATTAAAAATAAGTTTTTTGCAGCTGTAGTGAAATCGCACGTGTTCGTTTGTGTACAACAGAATTCTGAAACTAAAAGATAATGTTTAAAACCGCACGCGTGACTATGGGTGTGGCTTGTCAAGTCCCGTGACCTCTTTCAACATCAAGAGAAAACGGCTTGAAGGATTTGGGGTGTTAGAACGCCTCAGAAATATCTTTAATATCATCTTGTACGGATTACTTATATAAAAAATATCATCATTATCCTTCAAGCTAAAATATAACATCATGTCATTGGATTTGACAACTTTGTAGCCTAAAATATATACACAACATAAAGTAACAACTGATAAAACATACATTTCGACATATTTAACAGATGGTAGAGCTAATTCATTTTGAGTTGGGTTGTAAATAGATCTGGCACTCATACGTGGCTTTGCTGTACAGAGGCGTTGCTTTAGGTATACTGCCTCCTGCAGGAAAATTATGTAAAATACAACCAAGGAAAGGTTACAAAGGAAAGCCGAAAATTCAAAGTGACACATAGGCCTGTTGTTAGGGGAGGGTCACAGCATTAGATCTTTACGGCATTAGAAAGAAAATGTATGACGTCATTGTTTGGAATCTATAGAAATCAACTTTATCAGCTAAAAATGAATTTAATCCGCTGTCTTCGATTTGGAAAGCTCTGCTGACATCCATTCATTCAAAAATCATTTGCAAATTTTAAATAATTTATTGGTTTTGAAATATTTCTTCGAGATTTTACTATATACCCAATGTCCTCAGCATGCATTATACAACCAGAGTATAGATTCCATCAACTATACTGTATATAGTAAAATATAGGTTAATCAATCCTCTCTAATCTATAAATATAGTCTATTTTAATGCCTGAGATTTTTGTATGAAAGGTTTAAATCTCCTGTAGGTTAAAATATTCTGAGTGCTTTATTTTAAGACTTTTGATTGAAATCCAGGTCTAGATGGATATAGAGGAATTAAAGGCGTGAAACTCTTGCCTGTATGCAGCTTTTGGGAAATGCAGGATTTACTAGCTCAAACCTGCCAATTCCTAAAAAAAAAAAAAAAAAATACACACTACTGTGCATCAACAAGTTTTTTGCGTGCTCTTAAAACGAAACATGCTAAATAATTTCTGTTCTTCATAGTTATACCATATTGCTGCTTGAACACACAGGTTGTTCCAAAAATATCATTTTGGATGGACGAATTCACGCTCTGGGAACAAAATTCAATAAAAACACAAACAACTGATTAAAACTTACCATTTTTATTATGATAATGTTATTTGATATGTCGAATTACAAGTGTATGATGTAACGTAAAAACAGTTAAACTTATACATATATGCATATTTACATTATATATTTATGGAAAGAAATAAGCTACATCAGTATACGCTTCAAAGGAAGAAAGTAAGAAAATACACCTACAATGTGAGTTAATTGAACTACAAATTTTACAACATTGACGTGGTATTTAAAACCATGGAGAGGACGGGGAGAAAAAAAAACAACAAAAAACAACATACGCAACCAGAAACAGGAGATGTTATCAGTTTCAAAGAAAACTGCGGTATAAGGGAGGCACTTTGAGGTTGTCAGGACGTGAACGCATGGCACTAGGAAGGTAAAAGATAAATTAGACATGGAGAAATGGAAGTAGTCAGGCGTGATACGTAGCACAGAGCCAGCATTAAAAGAATTCATTTTTTTTAAAGTGATTGGTGTACCATATATACTGCAGCCTAACACATTGACGGTTTCTCACTTATGCTCAAGAAGTAAATCACTTAACATGACCAAGAACTTATAGAGTATGGAGAGGTCATAGGAAAACCACTTTTCCGCTGGCAAAGCAACTCAAACATTGGGAATGAAGCGGAGCAGCTTTGCACTCATGAAATTAACCTCCGCAGACTAGAATATACGTGCATCTTTATGCCTTCCGAATGCAATCTTTTTTTTTCCCCATTTTCTTTTTTTTTTTATATAGAAAATATGACAATATACACTAGCAGTGAAATGTCTCAGTTATGCAAGTAAAGAGGCAAGTTAAAAGGATCAGAGTTGACAATGCATATAAAATACAGTACATGACGAGGAGTAGCACTGTGCCGTATAATACAGAGCAGAAATTCACTTGATCGGTATTGTCCAATATACACATTCTCCACTGCATCTCTCCTAAGACAAAGCAAAGTTCAATCAGATTCGTCCCACCTTGGTTCAGCTTGCAATATGCAAATAAATCAAATGCCTGACATGGGAGAAAATAACGTGCTTAGAAACAAAGCTAAGCTAAGGGGGAAAAAAAATAATAATAATCCACTCTCCATATGCTTATTTAATGCTCTTTGAGAACTGGTTAACTTTTCACTCTTCCCTAAATTACGAAGCCGTTTTTCTTTCTGTTTTTATTTTGCTAAACGACAAAATTAGCGATTGTTCTAGCAGCTTTAGATATTAAACGTTTAAAAATAATAAGTGGACTGCCACTACTGTACCGCATTAGCCGTCTGCACTTATTCTCTCGATTACAAAACTAGAAAGAAAGTCTTTAACCCCTTAAGTAATTTCCATCAGGTAAACCACACTCTCTACTTTTCAATGTGAAACAATACTCAAAGGTGAGCTATGTACATAACACTGTCAGGTCTAGGACAGTAAAGTCTAACAGCGGTGATAAATACATCTAACCAATTTAGCATGGGGGCTATCATGATTTAGACATAGGGTTATTTATTTACAGATGCTGTAGGTTCAGTACCTCGGGATTACCTCATTAATATAGAGTCAGTCTATACAACGAACGTGTCAGCAAAGGGAAGCCTCCGGGCAGCTGAAATTGCATAGAAAGGTGAAGAAAGTTTGGTGCTGAGAAGTGAGAGTGGCTCTTACATGGGTAATGCCGAGAATTGCAGCCATCACCCCCATCCCCATCGCCGGGGGGGGGGGAGGGGGGGGAGGGGGATGGGGCCTCTCAGGCTGCCACAATAACTGCTCTTCTTAAAGTGTACTTGTTGGGATTTACCAAATTCGCCGTGTTTCAAGATGCCGTTAAACGGGAAAAAAAAAAATGCACATAAATATTCTAGATGGATGAATATCGAGTAAAACAAATTTTTTAAAAAGCAAATACTAATATTGTGTGCTCAATTAGCAATCACACGCCAAGCTTTAATTCAACGATATTAGTATGTACTATATCAACTTGAATAAATACCTCTGCAAATGATCAATATAGATTACATTTATTGCCTACTGACATAGTATGTGTGAGCATGTTACTATACACAATTTTATGTGTAGATATACAAGTATACATACGCAAATATACACATGCACACAGACAGGCTATCAGCTATATGTAAATGTATATATGCATATACGTATACATATATACATCTTTGTTGCTGTGTGGTGGATTTCACTAATCTCATTTTAAACGGGAATCGTGGTGCATGTGGAAACCAGCACTTTCAAACGATGTATGATTACTTTATTGTGTTTTTTTGGTTTCTTTATGTCTGGGGAATATTGTAATAAATCCCATCCTTATTAGAAAGAGACTGCGAAGGATTGACTGACCATTAAGTGCCACTGTAAAAACAAAAAACTGCTGAATGAAATGCTTATTTGTCAGTTAAACAGAACAAATAAAAAAACAAAACCAAACAAAAATATCTGAAGCAGATAACCACAGCAGAGGTAAAGAAAACATTATCAAGATCACTTGATAGTAAAACTACTTTAGATTGGTCTCGAGTTCATTAAATAAGGGCTTCTTTACCTTTGATACAGAAAATAAAGTATAACTGTTAATAACTTTAACCCCCCCCGGCAGGGTCTACATAGGCGCAGACGTTTTTGTTACGGAATGAATCATCTTGCATTGGAATGAAATATTGTGTGTGAACTGGCCTTGCCAAGAGCGGGAAGTCGCAAAATGGCGGCAAAACCAATGAGAATCGCAACAGACAGTCCCAAACGAACGAGAAGCACACCTATCACACCTGCACGGTTACGTGAAGATCAGGAAAGCGAACCGTCAATGGCGTCAAGACCCGCTCTTGAGGGATCCTGTGGCAAAAACTGCGCCGTTTCACCAGCAAATGCGATATTTCTGAGAAAAAGGCCACTGTTACCGACTGCAAATGGAAAAAGAAGAGCCATGCAGATCCCTTTTGCTGTACACTCCCAACGCTATTCTCTGTTCTAGTTTTCAGTCGCAAGACGTTGGCTTGTTTCGACATTGTTTTGTTTGTTTGTTTGTTTGTTTTCTGCACTAAAGACAACAGATTCCTTCACAAGGGTACACACAAACACATGTTGACGAGCGCAGCGTGCCGCTCTGGTTCTCATCGACATCGCTGCATCTGTTAGTCCGGTGTTGCGGTCTAGATGCGTAAGTGTATGAGCGTGTGCGTGCGTGTGTGCGTGCGTCTGCGAGTGTGAGTGTGTGCCTGTGATTTTGCCGTAATCTCGCTTGTCCTCGGCGTGGAGCACTACAGAGCCTCTCCGTCCCTCGCAGGCCGAGGCGCTCACCGCTCACGGCCTGGAGGGGGCAAAAAAAAACAGCCCCTCCTTCTCCAAAGGCTCCAGGAGAGAGAGAGAAAGAGACAGAGACGTCACCCTCTGGAGGTGGTCAAGAAACGCGTGGGGTGGGGGGGCGGCTCAGCCGGCGGCCTTATGGCGCCCCCCGCAGCAGCGGCAGACCTCGCCGCAGTGGTAGCAGGCACGCAGCGGCAGGTAGCAGCACAGGCAGGGTGCCACCAGCGACAGGGCCGCCAGCGCCATCCAGCGCAGGCAGAAGTGCTCCTCGGAGGGGTCGCAGGAGCATGGGTCCGAGAAATCTCCCTCCGAGTCGGACATGCAGTGGTAGAGCATGCTCTCAGCGCACAGCATGCAGCTGACGCGGTGGATGCACTGGCGCACAGGATCGGGCGCGTCGGGGCACTGGCCGCGCCGGTTGTCCTCGTGGTTGAACATCTCGCGGCAGTAGGTGCAGCGCGAGCGCTCGCCGTCCTCACGGCGCCTCCGCGACGCCTTCGTCGTCTTGAGCGGTGGCGATGGCGGGGCTTTGGGGCCTTTGGCCGGGTCGGAGCCCAGCTCCCCACGCCCGGGGTATTTCTCGGCGTCCAGCTTGAAGAGCGGGCCCCCCGAGTCCGGGTCGTCGCGCTCTGGGCCTGGCCTCCACGTCACCGGGTGGCGGTAATCCTCATAGCCGCGGCTCAGAACGTCCCGCCGCGGGTTGATCCGCACGATCTCCTCCTCGTCCTGGAAACTCACGTGCCGTGGGGTCTTGATGCTCACCTGGTTGTGGGAGAAACAGCGGCATTAAATTCAGGCGTGTAAACAAGAGAAAACATTTATCAGGGTTCTTGCAGGTTTCAGCAAGTTAAATTTAAGACCTTTTTAAGACCTTTTAAGAGCATTATGAGTAAAATTTAAGACCAACACGATGCATTACTAGAAAGATTCGAAAGATACCAGAAATTCTCAAATGTTATGTCACTTGATCATATCCTTAGCCTAACATCCGCATATCATATGTGTTTAATAAGTTTTAATATGTTCATATGTGTTTAAAGCACGTGGGAGTGGTATTTTAAGGCTTAAATTATAAAAAAACTTTATGTATATGGTCTTTCTATATCGTGGATTTTCACCTATCGCTGATGGGTCTGGAACGTAACTTCCGCGATAGGCGGGGGATCCAGACCCATCAGCCATCGGTGAAAATCCACGATATAGAAAGACCGTATACATAAACTTTTTTATAGTTTAAGCCTTAAAATATATAGTGATCCCCCGCCTATCGCGGAAGTTACGTTCCAGACCCATCAGCGATAATGAAAAGAACTGGAAACAGCTGATAAACACGGGGAATCCACACAGGGTTAACGAGGGGGCGTGGCACACGTGAGGAGCGGACGAGCGGGGCAGGACATACTGCACTTTTAATCAGATTTTTTAGATTTTCTAAGCAATATTTATTCAAATAAGTTTTTTTTTCATCTCTATTTTGCTTTTTTGTCTTGGTTTAACTTTTTAAAATCTTGTTTTTATAAAGCACATTAAATAACCGCTGTGTATGATAATAAAAACTTGCCTTATCTTACCGTAAGGAGACCGAGAAACGCTCTCCTCAAGACCACAGGAACAACTACAAACTATATGCTGGAAACTAAGACATTCACAAGGTAACTCCATGAAAAGCTCTGTAAAAGTAGAAATGTGTTTATTTTATGATAAGATAACGTGAGCCAACTGGCTAGTAGTTGCCTTTTAACTGAAAAAATTCACTCCAGTCATCAGAGAAAAAAGTTACTAACGCACTACATCAAAACATTTACATTGCAATAATGTATGGCATGAAATAAACTTGTAACTATATCATTCAGTAATAAAACAACATACCATTCACATTGGCCTCAAGAACCAAGTTAGCGCTTGATTCCCCTGCACTTCCTGTTGTGGCTGAGCGTGCACCTGACATTTTAAGGCCTTAAATTTAACTTTCTGAATTTTAGACTTTTTAAGACCCCGCGGGAACCCTGATTTATCCGACAATCCTCTAAGTCAGGGGTGGCCAATCTTATCCGCAAAGGGCCGGTGTGTATGCGGGTTTTCGCTGCAACTCCCTAATTAGGACACTAATTAGAGGACAGTTATAAAAAAATTAAAAAAAAAGAGGACAGATTGGCTGAAGAGTCCTCACACCTGGGTTCGGACAGCTGACCTAAAGGTTATCCTAAAAACCTGCATACACACCGGCCCTTTGTGGATAAGATTGCCCAGCCCTGTTGTAAGTGCTTACAGGGCACAGGGCTTGGAGAAACGCTAGACAGGATACCAGTCCATCACTCACACACACACATATACCACATGCACAACCCCTAAGACTTTATGCAGCCAAACTGTTATAGGACTGAAGGAGGAAACTGGAGCACCTAAAGGAAACCCACGCGACACAGGGAGAACATACAGACTCCACACGGGCACAGCGGAGGAGGGATTTGAACCCACACCCCTGTAGGCGTGAGTCAAACCAGAAAAAATCCAAGAGAAAAACCAAACTGACGACAGATCCATAAATCTCGACGTTATCACTCAGTAAGACGTCTGTGTGAGAGACCAACCACACATAAAACACGGCACTGTGCCTCACTTACCGGGGGAGGCAGGTACCGGCGACTCGGGGTGGAGAGGTCGAAGGCCTGGGCGTGCGCATAGCACACCCGGCAGGGCTCACTGGTCACCACGTTCCGGGAGAAGATCTCTGCCTTCCTCTCCATCGTCGGAGGACAAAGAGCAGGGGCTTCGGGATTCAACTGCGAATACAGCAGACGACACGCTTCGTTCATGTCAGCTTCATCTAAAATAAATGCTAGAAGCCCAGTTTAGTCCCAAGTCTTATGTCCCATTCACTGATTTTTGAGGCAGTAATATTTTCAGCCAGCAGAGGGAGCTGGGGTTGATGCAGGCCACTTGTCTTGAGTTCTCCACTGACTCAAAGGCTGTGTGCTTGGAACACTGAGTTCTTATCTCCACGCTTACGCCCTGCGGCATTTTTAATGGTGCAGAAACGGCAAGCATGTGCCCGACAAACACAGCCATGCTCCTAACCTCCCACCGCACACCAGAGCTACAGTCAATAATCTTAAGCAGTCCCGTTCCTTTTTCTTTTAAAAAATGTATTTTTCACAAAGAAGGCGGTTACTAAAAATATGCCTCTCGTTTACTCTCATTGGGGTCCGCAGACAGTGTGTCCCTGATTTACAGAGGACAAAATGGACGCTTTTAAAAAAAAAAAAATAAAATAAAAATTTTTTTAGGACGCATTCATCGAAGCAACATTTCCCTTTATTTTCAAGAAATCAAAACGTGCCAAATATAGACTGTGTGTCACACAGGAGGAGAAAACGAGGCATGAATCACAAGAGTACATCTGTGCCTGCAGATATGCAGATGTGCCTGTGCACACAGGGACACGCACGCACACAGGGACACGCACGCACACAGGGACACGCACGCACACAGGGACACGCACGCACACAGGGACACGCACTCACACAGGGACACGCACGCACACGGACATGCACCACAGCCACCAGGCAGCCTGTGGGACTGAGGAAGCGTCACAGCCTGACGGCCAGACAGGAAAACCTCAACAGAGAAAGAAGGAACAAGAAGTGGACTGTTCTGAAAATTCAGGAAAAATGACAAAGCACAGGCAAAACAGCTCCTTGACGACATACCTGATACACACAAGCACCATGTTCGCAATCAAGAATGACCTGTAAAATAGGCATTTTTATCCAAATACTATGTTTTGTCAGTAGTAAACCTCCATTTTTATGTCACACTAACAGTCGCCCCACCAGGAACTTCCAGCTGAGATTTCTGATCATCAGTGCAGTTGCTCTACCACTATGAAAGGGGGGGGGGGGTGCACATCTCACTGAAAGAAGCACTCTAGGGCACACCTGGGGTGCCAACCTAAATGGGTAGGACAAACAGCTGGGATGGAGATGGCTCACTTTCGCTAAAGCCCAGAGGAGAAGCTGGGGGACACAGGAAGCCCAGTGGAAACTGGACATGAGACAGGCCGACACGGAGCGCTCACAGGCCGACACAGAGCCCTCACAGGCTGATGTGGAGCACTCACAGGCCGACACAGAGCCCTCACAGGCTGATGTGGAGCNCTCACAGGCCGACACAGAGCCCTCACAGGCTGATGTGGAGCGCTCACAGGCCGACACAGAGCCCTCACAGGCTGATGTGGAGCACTCACAAGGCAACAAATAACATTCAAAGGGTAACACAGAGCACTCATAACCTCATAGCCAATGACACAGAGCACTCACAGGGCAACATAGCACACTCACAACGTTCAATGAGCAACAAGAAAATGCTCACAGACCAATGCGGAACGCTCACAGGGCAACAAATAACACTCAAAGGGTAACACAGAGCACTGACAGGGCAACGCAGTGCACTTACAGGGCAACGCAGAGCACTGACAGGGCAACGCAGAGCACTGACAGGGCAACGCAGAGCACTGACAGGGCAACGCAGAGCACTCACAGGGCAACGCAGAGCACTCACAGGGCAACGCAGAGCACTTATAGCAAATGACACAGAGCATGCACAGGGCATTGTGGAGCACCCGCAGCCAGTGATGCAGAATGCTCGCAAGGCAAGACAGAGCACTCATAGAGCAAGACAGAGCACTCACAGCAAATGATACAGAGCATGCACAGGGCAACATGAAGCACTCACACAGCAACGTGGAGCACTCGCAGCCAGTGATGCATAGCGCTCACAGGCAACGTGGAGCACTCACAGGGAAACAAGGAGCACTTACAGCTAATGACGCAGAGCACACACAGGCAATGAAGCAGCGTGCTCACAGCCAATGATGCAGAACGCTCACAGACCACCGCAGAGTGCTCAAAGGACAACAAAGAACACTCACAGGGCAACACAGAGTACTCACAGGGCAACACAGAGCACTCACAGGTAGGGCTGGGAGATAAAACGATAACGATGATTATCGTGATATAATTTCCCTCGATATCGATATGCCAAGTGTTCTATGAAAGTTTGATATAATTTTAGACACAACATGTTACTGGTGATACACTTTGCATCACAAAATGAGATCACTTTCTCCATGACAACTTGTCAGGATCGGCAGTGGAGCACAAGTGCAAAGGCAGTCATGAAAATGGGGGATTTGATTGAACAAATAACAGAATGCAATGGGGCAAGTAGGCAGACAAGAGACAAAACCGTCAAAACAACATGGCAACTCACCAGGAGAGCAAGTAAGTCCAAAGCAACCCCTTCAATAAGGGTAATCCAGTGAGATCCAAAAGGAAAATCCATAGTAAAATTCAATCTGTGAGAAATTCCGACAATAATAATCCACAGAGAATTAAGAAAAGGTAGGAAGAATGCCAGCTACAGCGTTTTTCAGCAATACCTAACATAACCTGCTCATCTTGTATCTCGGACTTGTGAAATGCTACGCATAGCGCTTTTGGTTTCCTTTTGGGCGGGCATGCTTTGAGCTCAACAGAGAGCTCAATTTAATGGGATCAGGAAATACAGAAAATTGTTCCGGAAGCAACATTTTGGTCATCACTACTGTCTGGCAAGTGTTTTTTACATTCTAACCATAAAGAAAAGTTTATGACTACGATTAACCATCTGATTTTCTTCATTTTCAACTCCGGAATAAAAATCAGCCTTTAAACTGGAGAGAAAAAATAACTTGACATTTATCGCAAATTGACCGATATGAACATTTTTATTGTGATAACGTTTTTGGCCATATTGCCCAGCTCAACTCAAAGGGCAACACAGAGCACTCACAGCCAATGACACAGAGTACTCACAGACCAACTCAGAACACTCAAAGCCAATGATATGGAGAACTCATAGTTAATGACACGAAGCCCTCACAGGGCAACATAGCATTCACAGGGCAAAACAGAGCACTGACAGGGAAACAAGGAGCACTCACAGCCAATGACGCAGGGCACTCACAGGCCAACGCTGAGCATTCACAGCCAATGAGGCAGGGCACTCACAGGCCAATGATGCAGGGCACTCACAGGCCAATGATGCAGGGCACTCACAGGCCAATGATGCAGGGCACTCACAGGCCAATGATGCAGGGCACTCACAAGGCCAATGATGCAGGGCACTCACAAGGCCAATGATGCAGGGCACTCACAGGCCAATGATGCAGAGGACTCACAGGCCAATGATGCAGAGGACTCACAGGCCAATGATGCAGAGCACTCACAGGCCAATGATGCAGAGCACTCACAGAATATCACACGCATTAGCACCTGTGCGTAAACTGGAACAGATCCACACATCCCGTTACACTTGCAGTCCTTGTGTCCAAAGGAGAATTAGTGGTCATTCTTACCACTCCTTCATCCTCCACACAGATGACTGCCCAAGCAACTGGCTCCAAGAATGTGGAGATGGCGAAACTACCAGGCAACCATACACACGATGTGTCACCAATCAGTATTTTAAAAAAATATGTGGGAAACAGGATGCAGAAATAATTCCCAAAAAGGTGTTTTTCCACTGCGAATGGTGTGTGTGTATATTATATATATAATTATTTCTTCATACACCACACTTTACCTACATTTTATGCAGGCAGATACTTAGGAAAGACCGAGGGAAAGACTTCATTTCCCAGAAGCACATTCTCTCACAGTGAATAAGATGGCCGTCACTGTAATGCTGCCCCCATGATGAGGATTATGAAGGACAGGTGGATGCTGGCCTCTATGTACGGATTAGTACTGAACACGCCATCAGTTCTGGGAATCCGATTCGCGCGCACACCAGCACGAAGTATAAGGATGCAGCTCATGCTGCAGGTTAAACCCCAGGCATGAGTGCCAACTGGGAGCTGGGAGGGAGCAAAAACGTGGACCGTCTGGGGGTCCGTGAGGACCGGGTTGGGAAACGCTGCCTTAAATAACCCTATTGTGTGCAAGGACGAGTGCAGACATCGAGCTGGGCTTCTCCAGAGAAGGCCTTCTCCTATGCATGCCTGGGGTTTACAGGAAATGTCTACTTAGCATCACAAAAACAGCAGTTGGCCAGTGCAGCGGGGCTGTGGCGCCAGCCTGCATACGCGATTAGCTTCCCCCTCGCGCTTCTCACTGGAAATGTGCCGGGGGGGAATTTAGCACCGCCCACTTCCTGTCCCTGAGCAGCACATCAGCAGACATACCTGCACTCCGTCTTCAGACATCTCCGGGTCACTGTGGGTCGAAGGGCAGCCTGTAACGACAAGACTGCATTTCAGGGTGTTACCTAGCACATGCATGTTCACACGTGCGTGCACACACACACACACACACACACACACACACACACAATACCAGCATACAAAGAAACCACAGTATTACCAATACCTATTCTATTGGAATAAGGCCAGATGGACTGTCCTGTCTGCTACTGATTCCTGTACATATTGCTTGCACACACTCACCTTTAAATACGCCTCTTTAATGAAAGCACCAGCCCACATCCCACAAACCCCCCCACTGCGTCTCTCTGGTTGTTGAGACTGTACTGTCACCTTTCCTGCCTGCAGCATGATGGAACGCTTCAGACGGTCAAGACGAGTCCCGACCACCAAACTGCAGTTTAACCACGTTTCATAACAATCCCCCCCGTTTCCATGGTGTTACATCTTGAAAAACCACAACCCCTCCTCCCCCACTCCCACATTTCATTTCAGCCATTCTACATAGCTATCTCTCTCTATTGAGCACCACACCGACATACAGTTAAAGTACGTTAAAAACAACGCAGGCATTCAGCTAAATAATCCTTATAATTATCCATTCAGCGAAAGTAATATTAATGATAATACATGAGAATACACATTCCCCTTTCATCTCTCTTAGCAAAACCCAAAAAGTGCAAATATATCGTGGATGGGTACATATGCGTGTACGGTACGCACCGCTACCACCCCTGGCCCCGGTGCGCCACGTCCGTCTCTGATGGAACCCGGGGCCAGACTGCCGGCGAAGCCCTGTAGCCAGTTGCCATGGTTACGCAGGGCCTCAATCCGACAGAGGGCTCAGAGCGCAGACGTGTGAAGGATCTGCGCAAGGTAATGCGGGGTGGATCGGAGGGGCTTCGATAAAGAGCCGGGTCTCAGATCTGGGAACGTGGGGCAGTAGGGAAGCACCCACTGTTATCTGAAACTGGTCGGCCTGATGGAACATTTGTGTGTGAGCCGAGGTGAAACGGCATGCTGCAGGGACACGCATGTTATGCCACACGCTGGTTGCTATGGCAACTCTGACACTGCCTCGGGGTTTTAGGGTCAGTGATACGGTCAGTGCGTCAGACTTCCATAATAAGAGCGACAAAGGGAATAAAACAGCCAGTGTGTGGCGCCGTGACCCTGCCTGATGCCAAGTTAATGACAGCACAGGCCCGGGCAGGATCGGATCGCAAAGAAGACACGCTATACCTGCCCAAAGGGCTGTAATAATCTAATAAATGTGTTACGTAGGTATATATTGCAAGAGGAAGAGCATAGCCGTTTTGCTGCTTTTGCTGTACTGAGAGACTGTCATTGTAGGGTCTTTCCCGCCTGGACAGGAAACACCGTACTCTGCTGAATGCAGTATGACCGTCACACCTTGCATCATCTTTCATTTTATCCGGATGTACTCAGAGGCCAAACACACGCACATACTCAACAAACTATCAGGTTTTTAAATCTGGAGGTGATCATAATCCCGAGGATAATAATAATAACTGATACCTTATTGTTCCGCGTGGGGAAATTCTCTCTACGCCTCCCCCGACTTGCAAGCGGGCGGTGAAGGGCAGCCACCCTTAGCACCCCCCAGGGAGCTGGGGATTAAGGGCCTTGCTCAAGGACCTGCAGATGTGCCGATGCCAGGCTCCATACAGCAACCGTCTGATCACAAGCAGAGAAGCTTATCCCACTGAGACACACGCTACCCCACCTCTGACCTCAGATGGTCAGATGCTTTCCAGCGTGCTTCTCCACTGCGATTCCCTGGGTAGACAGGCCTCTCAGTCCCATAATGCAGCACTGCCTCTCCTGCCAACAGGGCAATGCCCAAAGGGTGCCCCTCTGTGCCATCGTGCCCATCCACAGCACCTGTCACCGTGTGAGGGGTCACAGGGGGCTGTCAGGTTAACAGCCTGGTGCCCATTTCTGTGACAAACCCCCCCCCGTGAAAAGCTTTGCTCTTGGATGGACTCTCCAGGCAGCTGTCCAGCCCTGGAATACCCAACAGAGTGCGACATAACAGCGAACTGTGGCTCTTTTCAAATTGTGGAAGTCCAAAGTTTTTCTGGACGTATGCTGGGGCTGGGAGGGGGCGCCGTTATGTAACTCGGAGAAGGTGGTGGCTGGCCGAATGGACTCCTTTTCCGCCAGTCGCCTGTCTGCTCAGCTGTATCGCTCGCCAGAATGTTAGCAGAATGTCAATGCAGACCTAGCACTTCCGGCAGAGACGGATTGGTGGGGGTGGGTGGGCTAGAGGCACATCCACAGCAATCAGAATCATAGGCAGTATGACAGGAAGTCATGGACACAGGAGGCTCTGCCCCGAAATGCCTCCCTTCCCATAATGTTTGCTGAAGCTGAATGAGCTGGGTGTGACACTCATTGTCGAGAAAAACATGAGCAGCGCAAGCCAACCAGAGAGAAGATTGCAAGGTATTCACCACCCCCCCCCCCACGCCGAATACCAGTGAAGGCCAAAATTACTCAGGAGGAAAAGAAAAAAAACAAGCATAACCTGGAGGCATTTTTACACTGAATGCCGGTTCCTGTGGTAGGGGGTAATAAATGACCCCAAGAGGGCCCTGCACACATGTTCCCGGGAGTGGCCTGAGATCACCTGGCCACACACCAGGTGCATCACCCCGCCACTGAGGTGGTCAGAGCGCCCCCTATGTCACGAGTGCAGTACTGAAGCAGGAATGTTATGTAATACAGTCTGGAAATGGGGCATGGCAATGGAAACTAAGGCGGCGGGGGAGTGGGGGCTCACCCTGGTCGATGTCCTCCACAGCCCTTCGGATGCCCCTGTCGAAGGCCCGGGCATCTGCTGGGCTCTGGAACGTCAGGCCGAACTTCTTGTCGTTGAGCCTCCAGTGGTGAAAGATGGGGGTGACCTTGTTGTAGACAAGCTCCTTCTTCAAGACGCACTCCAGGACCACCTGCGGCGCCGATTGGCTGCATTAAAACCCTCACACTGTGCGCACGCCGTGGGGAATTATGCCATTTCCACATTCATCCTCTATAAAAGGTATACAGGAAACTCCACAATCCTCCTGCATCTAACTACGGGTCATTAATATTTAATTGTTACCTTCCTGTCCTGAAGGAACTAAACAAAATAACTCCTTTCATTGTGAGGAATGCCTGTGATCTGCGAGACCTTGTGTGTCTGTGTCTGTCTCTGTCTCTGTGCATACCCTGTGTGTGTGTGTGTATATATACCCCCTGCCTGTGTGTGTGTGTGTGTATATATACCCCCTGCCTGTGTGTGTGTGTGTGTATATATACCCCCTGCCTGTGTGTGTGTGTGTGTGTGTGTACCCCCTGCCTGTGTGTGTGTGTGTGTGTGTGTACCCCCTGCCTGTGTGTGTGTGTGTGTGTGTATACCCCCTGCCTGTGTGTGTGTGTGTGTGTGTATACCCCCTGCCTGTGTGTGTGTGTGTGTGTGTATACCCCCTGCCTGTGTGTGTGTGTGTGT